GCCGCAGGCTTAACCAGCTTGTGAACTTCAATGCCCAGTGACATTTCCCTTATTGGCACCCTTCCCTAAGTCGGTTCTGGCTTGCCACCGCGAGTGTGTAACAGGTCCAGACATGAAGCCATGTACATGAAGCCTTGTACATGAAGCCTTGTACATGAAGCCTTGTACATGAAGCCGCGTACCGCAGTGATGCTGGGGGTACAGTATTGCGGGTCATGACGGACCCGTCTCCTTGGAGTGGCGCCAGTCTTCAGCTTGGCCGCCGGGCTGAGCTGTCTATCATTATGTTGTAGCGTAAGTACGGCGATGATCGCTACCCGCAGTCGCCGGCATCGGTTTGCGGCACATATCGAAAGAAGGCTTTGCTTCCATAGGCCCCGTTCTGTTCCTCTGCCTGAGCGGTCTAGAGCGCTGGGACGACGCCTTGTGTCTCTCCTGTATAGCCCGTCGATGATGCGTTGTCGTTGATCATCAACACAATCGTACACCGTACTGTACGACTTACATTCAGTGACAGCCTGTTGCCGCCTACCGCGGCAGATCCCGCAGCGAATCCCTAACCAAGCTCAACTTTCGTCGGATGGCGTAGCTGCACGATATGGCCCATGTCAGAAGCCGCGCCCGATATTCCGATCGGACAGTCGTGTGCTCCATGTATCACCGTGAAATGATAGGAGAATTCCATCCTGAACTCTTGTGGCCATCTGAACGAATACTGCGCCGATGCGTCGAGTGCTGGCACAGTGGCTTCTCGAATCCTCTAGGAAGACGTAGTACTTGATACCAATCTTGCACCAGCACGGCCATATGGCGGAGGGACGATCTGGTCGTGACATTGCACGCGCACACCATTTGCCGTTGCAACTTCCTGGCCAACGGGTATGGAATATCTCGGGCTGGTCTTTCCATGCCCCATCGTTCGAACGAATCCTGACAAGGTGCACTCTATGCCAGTGACCGGAAGAAGCGGGGCGAATTGGGCTAGTTCGTTGCTGAATTGCCCTTGTGAATTAACCCGGTTCGCCAATGTTAGCGATAGGTAAAACTTGCCAAAGAGGGCTCGGCAAGCCAAAGCCAAAGACGCATACGACACTAGGGCGCAGACGGGCCAAAACACAGGGGTTTTGTCAATGTTGTCACTCGACTTGCTAGCCGATGAGGAAATAGACGAGCGACGGTATGGTGAGGCAGACGTATCCCTCGCGCTGTGACCGAGACGATAGCGACGGTGCTCGATCTTGTGTACCACTATATACTGAGGAGTACGGCTATCTCGGCGAAGACGGACGCCAAATTCTTGGCTGGCGAGCGATCTGGAAACGTTGCAAGGTTGATTGATTTGCGAACGACTGCACCTTAGCTTTGGCCTTGGACGTTCCTTCTCGCCGCCCTAAGAATTTTCTCTGGCAACTTCTTGCGTATGCCGTCCTGACTCAAGCCTTGGAACTCCGGACGAAAGAGTATATCCTTGTGTCTGATGGAGCCACCGTCGTCCTGTGCCGAGCAGGACCAGTACCGCAGCTGTCCGCTTCCATCGAGGCATCCGTACACAGCTTGCCGCTGGGCGCCCGAAGATGCTAGCCAGCCGACTTCTGCGTACCGTAGATGCGTAGGCCTTCCAGTCGGTACTCTTCGGGGTGGTTTTCGTTTCGCTTTCTGCTTCTTGGGCGGTTGTCGTGAGGATTGCTTTTCGTCGTTCGGCTGTAGTCGGGGACGTTGGGGCTGTTCGGGTCGAGCTGCTGCTTTCGGGACTATGAACTTGTCAGCGCCTGTTCGCTATGCGTACACAATACGTACCTGGCCTTGACCATAAGAAGGTCACGTCGTCGTTGGAGTTGTGGCCCATTGGTGATGTCCTCGTCCTTGTGGATGCCGTGGCTCTTGGCAATGCGTTTGTGATAGATGCTGATGCGCCCCACTTACTAGGCCTCGATCCTAGACATATCACATCGTCGTGATGGTTCCCATTTGAACTCAACGCCGTCGTCCTCGTTGCCGATACCATATTCATCGACTGGGTGTCTGTGGTCTGTGGTCCGTGATGCATGCTGATATGAGGCTGCAATGGGGTGCACCACTCGACGGCTGGTGCTTTCGTTGGGATGGTCAGAGAAGCTCGGACCACGTTAGCCATCCACTGCTGGAGCAATCAAGGAAGGCGGGATCAAAGTCTCCCTACCTCCATGCGGTCTGTTTTTGCGGCAATTATGTCAGTCTGAGAAACACTTCACTTCACGCTGTTTCTGAGCGGACGACTACCCATAGAGCATCCTTGTAATTGGCCCAAAGTCAATGGCTATATTGCTTGAAAGTTTGAGCAAAGGATCAGCGTGACGGAGTACCATATTCGCACTGCGCAGGCGAAGCGCAGCGGCATGGATTCGCCTGCAGTGATGCTGCGTTTAAAGATAAGCCTTAGCCCAAAAAATTCATTCTTCTTAGCTACGCTACGCATATCAATTCAGAGGAACCGGCATACGTCCTTTCCTTTTCTACCAACCACACACCCTACCGCTTGAATCTCGGCTGCTTGCGGCTTGCGCCCTCGTCTTCGTCGTCGTCATCGTCCCGTCGCCGTTTCTTACGATGATCAGAGGTGCCGAAGCACTGCTCGAGCTTTTGGCTCCGCACCAGCTGCTGCACGGTAAACGGCGAGCCGCTGATGTCGCGACCCTCATCGGCGGTCTCCCATAGGCAAATGGCGAGCGACTCCTGCAGACTGGCCACGCGAAACTTCACGTCCAGACGGAAATGACCATCTAGGAACGCCGCCGGGTATGACGCAAAATCACAAGCTACCTTATGGCCGCCGACGCGGAAATACGCCTTGCCGCTCGCGAGCTGCCGCATCAACGCCGTCAGGCTCTCGGAGCGAGCGCGCAGCCGGCAACAAATCTGCCCGCGGCAATCGTACCCCCCGTCGGAGAACAGGTACGGACGCGAAGCATGCAGCTCAAAGACGAACAGCTCTGCCCTCGCGCACAATCTCAGACGTCTCAGGGCGGGGAGGCCTTCAAAGGTGCACCCATCATCTTCTTCGTCGTCGAAGCTGGACAGGCTGTCCAATGGCGGCTCGGAGCCGTCGAACTCGACATCGAAGCGGAAGAACTCACCGAATCGACCCACCTTCTTCTGTGCGACGACCCGCTGCCAGTCGTTCTTGTCCCGGTTCCGGAACGCTCGCGCCAGGCGGAAGAGGAAGCAGTCCCACCACCCGCCGCTGGGCGAGCTCGAGGAGGAGCCTGTGCCCATCGAGGCTAGAAGGCTTGGGTGTGGCGCTTCAGGGAAAAGGGGGCCACCTCTTGCAGCGCGATCGAGGACGGGTTGTTGGCCACTAAGCCGCCGTCCTGGAAGGTGCCGAGGCCGTCAATAGACCAAGGCGTGAAATAGCTATGGCATTGTTAGCGGCGTTTCGCAGCACTCGGCTGTTTCTTTGCGCCATCCAATTGTAGGATGTCGAAAAGAGAGCGAGACGTAAGAAGAGAGGGGAAAGAAAAGAAGGAGAAAAGAGAAGAGAAAAGAGAAGAGAAAAAAGAACAAAAGAAACAAAAAGGGCTGGCACGGACTACGGAGCAGCGGTTGCACATCGGACACTGCAAACCGGATTAGCCATCTAGTCACCGGAAGCCACAGGCCTCCCATAGAATCCGCGGGAAACCACAAACATCTCCCACAAAGCCACCGCCCCCATCGGCGGTTGCTTCAGGAGTTCATAATCTATACAGTCCATCAGCATCGGCTCGCGGGCTTCGAGTGGCCTCGACGCAGACGGGAGAAGAAGGGATGGAGACGGGGAGGCTACCGCGATCGCCGGCCCGCTGGCCCACTCCGTTGTAGCTGGTGAAGATGCAGGCGCTTGCGTCTTGCACGGTAGCAACCGTCATGCCAACCATGGCACCCATCGTGTCGGCCGCCGAGTAGTCGGTGATGCTTCTCCCGGAGCCGAACATGTCTCGCAGAGCCTTCTCGATGTGCCGCGACGGGTACCTGCTGTCGAATAGAAGCAAGGCTGCGGCACGCACAACTGTGGCAAAGAAGGGGACCCGCATCATCAGTCGTATGAGAGGGCCTATGATGGGAACGGACGGAACCCGGCGAGGCGTGAACGCGTGGTTCGAAAGGGACTCGAAGCGGGCGATGCACTCGTCCACCGTCCACCCGTTGATGCAGAGGGCGCCGGCGCTGATGGCACCTGCCGCGATCGGTCAGCCAGGGGAGTCGCCCCCATCTGCACCTGCAACAACGACAGCATCCCGCGACATACCTGAGCTCGTCCCGAAGACGACGTCAAAGTTCTGCTGTACCGGATGGCCGGGCAGCCCGATGTCGTCTTCGAGCTGCTTCAACACCTTGAGGGGGTACTTGCCCCGCGTCCCGCCGCCGTCGATACACAAGACCCGCACCGACGCGGTGTCCGGCTTCACACGTATCTGCATGTCAACGTTCTGTCCGCAGAGAATACACTCGGCCACTTCGATGAGCCACGGGTCGGCCGCACTTGCGACGCCAAATACCTGGACACAGTTTAGACAGTGGCCGTGGCCGCACGCGGGAAAGACCTGCGGAGCGCGCCGCAGACAAAGGTAGCATGTGCTGTCGGACCGGAGCTGGGCCCAGTCCTCCGCGAAGGCGGCGACAAGCTGTCGATGCAGCAACGCTGAGGCTTGGCCCGTCGTCAGCTGCCGGAACATACGGACCATCTGGGCCTCGACCATTTTGGCGAACTGAGACGGCAGGAGGAAGTCGGTGGACCCTTCGTGCGCGAGGACGGCGGTGCCGCACACGTTGTGGCACACGTCCTTGTAGAACATCTGGAAGACGTCGCGCGGATCGAAGACTGCGGGCCGTCAGTGAGGACCAAAGGTGACGCGTGCCCGTGAACGTACGGTGCATGTCCGGAGGGTACTGGTCCAGTATGAAGCTGGAGGCGATGACGGGCACGGCGAATCTCTTCAGGTCGTCAACGGAGTCGCAGTGCGTGAGGAACCCTGCGAGGTGCGCCGGCAGATCGGCCGCCACCGGATTGTCGAGCCGGGAGACGGCGAGGAAGTCGAGGGGTGGCGCGCCGGCACCGCCGACGTGCTCTGTGGCGTGGCGGAGAAGGCCGGCGAGGTGGGTGGCCGAGAAGAGGCAGCTGGCGAGCACGCGCTCGACCCGTTTCGTCTCCGTCATGTAGGAAAGCTCATTGCTGAGTATGTCCCAGCGCAGGGAACCAAGGCGGCGTCGCAGGGACTTGGGCGTCTTGTTGGCCAGGCTGATGACGCGAATGCCGTGGAATCGTTCGGACACGTTGGCGCTTGTCCGATTGCGGACGGACTGTAGCAGGCGACTTCGTGTGGAGTCCTCTTCTTCGCCGTTCACGACTACCACTAACCAGGGCCGCACCGACGATGTGGACGGCGTACTCAGATTCAGCCACGACGCCAGACGCTGGGCGACGACCTCTACGCCGCCGATATCGTCGGCAAAGAAACACACAGCATCAGCAAACGGGAGAAGCATGCGATTATAGACATGATCGCCAGCTTCTACTGTCGTGGGCAGGATCGCGGACGGCATCGCGGACGGCATCGCGGACGGCATCGTGGACGGCATCGTGGACGGCATCGTGGACGTGATGTTCCCACCGTGAGAGATCGTCAGTGGCCTTGCTACGACTTCATGGCAAAGCGTAGATTTTCTTGGCCTGCCGAGCCGCTTATGAGGCGGGATGTCGGCATCGGCAATCAGCGTCGGCCTTGCGCCGGGCGCGCCGACAGGAGCCACGTTAAGATGGATCTCGCCGTGGCCCCGGGCCGTGTTGGGCGCGGTGATGTACACACCGAGTCTTTGCAGGGCAACCCGCTTGGTCGTGTTTCCAATCAGCACGAGAATACTCGGGTACTGGCCATCCGGGCGTGGCAGACCGTCCAGCAGTCTCTGGGCACGACCCGAGCTTTCGACGACGTACGCCTGGTCTTTGGTGGCCACGCGCAGCCAGCCAGTGTGTTTACAACGGGACATGTTGCGCACTGGATCAGGCACAGCTACACTGGGCAGACGAGGCGCGTGTCTGTCTTATAGGCAGTGCAGAAGGCAACTCGGGAGCCAAAATGGGCTGGGTGGATAGACCTTGGGCCCGACGACCTGGATGAATCTATAATCGTCTGCGATCCAATCGCCAATGCTCTGAAGCCATTTGCGTCACAATCTTCATTCAAAGTCAAGCGTAGGTCCATCCGGCTTCGCAAGTGAGCGTTCCAACACACATCAGGAGCGGGAAGATCGAATCGGCGCATGCATTCTCTGGCATGACAGCACATATCTTATCCGCCGTCTGTATTTCTATCTCTCCGCCGTTCGGACAGTGGCCCATCCATGCCCCAGTGCTATAACGTACTTCTAATGTGCCAAGACCAGATTGAACCGTCAGATCTCCTATTGCACGCACGTTTCCGACGGCGGACTAGAACCCACGCTCATGCTCGTCAACATCAACATGGGAGCAAACGCTGTCGGGGCGCATAATGGCAACATTTCATTCACGTCTGTCCAACAAAATTGTTGTCGGCCACAGAGGCAGCTGCAGTAGGGCCAGTGGAGGTAGCGCCCACTATCCAGGTTCCAGGCCCATAGCGGATCATGCATGTGCTCCAAGCCATCTTGCGTCGAAGTAATCGGCACCGGCGTTGGATAATCGGTAGAGGTTCCGCTTTCAGGCTCGCTGCTCTCGGGCGACGTGAAGCCGCCGTCAAATGACCAAAACCCACCGTCGCCGCAATCACTTCCGGACACATTTTTCTTCGAGTGATCCTGCAAAGTGGGCGCGCAAGACTGAGCAGGTGATGCGACGCTGACCTTCCATCTGAATGACCCCTCTGCCTTTTTCCTGCGACTCGCTCGGCGATCCGTTCGGGGCTTACGCGTTGGTTGGAATTCCGTCAACCCTGCCTCCGCGAGCTGCCAGAGGGAGCCTTTACGTTCCACTCGTTGGAAGGCCTGTGCGACACAGATTACGACTTAGCAGGAAAAACTAGACCGTCACAACGCTGGCGCAACTCGCTAGCGTACCTTGTTTACGCTCAGGTTCGAACGAACGCTGTTTTTCCATCCTTCGCCTCCCTTGTTGGCTCTCCTGGTGTTTTGCTCAAACCAATGGTAGAGTTCGCCTAGCCCCATTGCCTTTGTTTCTGTGCTGTGGAGTGCGATGTAGATGAGTTTCGCGTACGTCATCTTCTGCTCGCCTTCGTCCAACCGCGTGTCAGCGGTCGGCGATGATTCGATGGCAGTGTCAGGAAGGCGTGGGAAGGCCGGATCCACGCTGAAGCTGTGTTGCGGCGTGCCATTTTGTGCTGGCACTGGTTGCGGCTGGGATTGCTGGCCACGATGACCTGCGCTCTCGTCCTCATGAGATGTACGGTTGTGTGGTGGTCGAGGGGATCGAGGAGACATGCATTCGGAAGGGAGGGGAGACGTGCGAACATGGTCCATCAGATCGAGTTGCTTGCTGCTTGACGATGGGCAAGCCCTGCATTCAGATCAAACAGTCGAGGCGTCCGACTACACTCGTGAGCGCCAGTGAACCCAACATAACCACATGTTCGACAAACGCTCTCAATCCGCGCTCTTATCCGTAAGCCATGGCTTGGTGTTTTCCCCATTCACAGTCTCCCAGTCGTCGGTGGCATGGCATCCAGCGCCAGAATGAATTCCCCCCAATAGATGGACGCACTTTCTTCGCCGTGCGCCTACTGCGAATCAGTTGCTGTCAGAGACCCATACTGCAAGCAAGAAAGCACGAGCTGCTACGGATTTGCACCGCTGCACAGCGCTACGTTCTGCTCCGTCGGCGGTGGGATCCAAGAGTGTATCTCGCCGCCAAAGACCTACCCTTACGTCAGACGAGAGAGTTGGGGCCATCTATGACGGAAAGCCGAATGTGAATGTCATTGTACAGGGGGCTCACGGGCCACGCCGCAGCCAGTGGCCGATTGTTGCTTCTACGCTGTTATCGGATGTGTGGTCGAGAAACCCACCCCCTTCCCGGGACCGAGACCGGGCCTCGGCGGGCTCGCCTCCCACAAAGTTGCAGGGCCCATTCGACTTCCCTACCGGCGGCACTTTTTCAGAAAGAACGGCCACCGTCGTACCGGTAGGCGAACGGCCAAAAACGGCTGCGGCTCCAAGCGTCTGGACCGGCTAGGCGCAACGCAGGACGGGCTCCGCCCGCATTGCCGCGGGAACATGGCGGGCTTTGGGGTTCGTCAATCACCATTCATCCCATCGCACAGCATGCAATCTACGGTCTACATTTCGCGCCGACAGGGCCAGCGTCACGGCGCCCGAGGAGCACTGACAGTCGCTAGCATCGGGTCGTCTTCAACTTCCCTTTCCACTACTCTGCCGTCTGTCGCTGGTTTGGTGCCAGAATTGCATTGCGGGAAAGAGACCGCCTGGGGGACCACTCACGAGCAGGGATTGGGGCTGCAGCTCTACGTAATTGAAGGAGAGACGGGCGAAATTCAGGTGTTCACTGCACCAGAAAGCTAGGCGAGATCTCATGGCCCATCGGAAGCACCGCCCACCAAAAGGCCCGGAGGTTTGCACGAAGAAAACATCATCACAACATAAGCCTCGCGGCAATGCGGCCTCGAAAACTGTAGCTGGAGTATTGGCACCCTGCTCGACGTAATTTCTGGAACATGCACTATGGCTTCCATCTTACGTAAAATAACCCTACTTGATCCATGTCCTAAACTCGTCGCCGTGTGACCTACCTCATGACTCGTTGCGCCGCCTTTCAAGTAGCCAGACACCCGTCAAACTCCAACGCCTAATAATGGCAATGTTTCCGTGGACTCTAACTTCGCGTCGCTTTCCTTTCACGGATAACTTGCAGCGTCATGCCCGCGAATTAACCCTTCGTCGTAGCTCATCATAGCTCATCATAGTTCATCATAGTTCATCATAGTTCATCATAGATTCCTGAAAGATACTGTCCAACTATCCCTTCTCCATGACTTGCTGTTATGTGTTGTTGCTACGCCCAGAATAGGCAGGCGGTGGGAAGGGCGGCACGTCGAGAGCCACGTAGGACTGCCGATCGACCTCCACCGTGGTCGTCACAAGCACGCCGTCGCCCGTGTGCTGCGGCCCGGGGCCGCTGTCTCTGCGTATCTGCGTCTTGTGGCGCCTCAGTCTGTCAACAGACCGGGTCCACCTGTGTTTCGGACTGTCCTTGCTGAAAAAGCTCTCCGACACTGTAGACCGACGACGGGGCCAGACGCTGACGAGCAGCAGGCGCAGACTGGGCAAGCTCGCGCACAGCATCGCCGTCGACTGCTCGATGAACGACCACACCACAATATCGACATGGTCCCTGTCTCGTCGAACGTGGTGCTGTACTCCACCAGGTATCTGACCCGGACCGCCGACGTCACGCACGCGCTGTCTGCCGTGTGAGCCTTCTCCCTCACCCTTCTGCCGAGACTTGAGACCTAACTCACAATGAACCAATGCTGAACAGCGCGATGACGGCCAGGCGTCGCCGGAGAGAAATCTTGAGCCGCCACACGTAGGGGATCGGCAGCAGCAAGATGGCGATGTCCTCCGCCATGGCAAGCCCGCCACTGCTGTAGCCCACAGCTTGCAAGTTTAGACATTGGCGGTCGGTGATGGTGCGATCCCATATCGACTGCACAGGCACGCATTGCGTCGCGAACGGGACGATGAAGAGCGTGCCATGCAGTAGCAGAATGGCCTGCAGGCCCTGGGCGATCCTCCGAAAGGTCTCCGACGGGAAAATGCGGCGAGGAAGAGCACGATCGACAGCTTCACGGCGGCTTGAAGGATGGTGTAGATCAAGTTTCCGACGTACAGCATCTGACTCGGCGTTAGGACGGGGTACCACGAACCACAAACAGCTGGCGGGCCCGGATCGCCGAACCTTTCGGATAACGACCCCATTACCAACGGTATCGTCCAGTAGTGCATGCCGAAGCCGATGCTTGTAATGTGCAGATAGACCGCGGCCAAGGCGATGAGGAGTGCCTGGCAGACGCCATCAGAAAGGATTTCTTGGAGAGTTGGGGTCAGGTACCGCCGCGAGGATGGTCATGTAGTCGTCCCTCCATAGACCACCCGCATACTGCTTGCTCGTGAAAAGACGGAGCGTCACGATGAACAGCACAAGACTGCAGCTAATGATGAGCGTCCGCCGGACTTCCGTCCTTCGCGATGCTTTCGGATACGCTTCGCACAGGGCTCCCTCTACCGTTGCTGCAGCTTCAGAAGGTCAGATGGGCTTCCAGAGAGGAAACAGCGGGGCCAACTTAGTTGATCGTCAAACGGGCAGTTCGTCTGCACACATGTCGAAAGCTCCGATTGGACAGCAATGTCGAGACAGATGCACGCAGTCACGTCTTCTGAATCGCAGGCGGACGTGATGAATGTGCTGCTGATGCACTCCGACTAGATGGTGGATGTTTTAGCGCGACGAAGGCCTGGCTGATGCCACAATCACTCACGGCACACGACGGGACCTGCGAGAGGATCTCGACGGCCGACGCTGCATTCACGGCGGCGACAGCAAGCTGGAGGACCAGCACTGCGAGAGTCCATGATCGATGAACATGGCATATGAGACGTCGATGAGAAGCGCGGAGATGCTGACACAGACTTTTGCGGTGGTGTCACCGGTGTTTCGATGCCGGGCGACCTGGCATCCTGCAGCTGGAGGTCTTTTCGCTGCGGGAGAGATCCAATGAAATAGACGGGGTATGTATGGTACGAGAAGGCACTTCTGGTTCTGACCGTAGTACAGTCGACGGAACTTGCTTCCTGCGCTGAAGCGACAATGACAAGAAGCCAGTTACGCCGCTAGTGGGCAGTTTGTGGACGAATTTCTCGGCTCATCCTTCCGGTCTTTCGCTGCGAGTTTCGCAAATCATTGGGCTCGTCACTCGATGCTTCGTGCTTTGCAACCTGGCTTAAAGGTGACTGGGTGATCTACGGCTCCATGCAAGCCATCACCAGCAACACCAATGCATCGCACATGTCACGGCCTCAAGGGCGGGATCTTCGTTGCGCGGTACAGAACACAGGGCATGGCATGCAGAACACTTCCTGTACGTTCGATGGATACCGGGGCAGGTCGTTTCCTCACACGCAAACGACATGGAAGGAATATGAAATTTTCCAAGGACAGTGATAGAGATCATAGAATTCAGTACACACCCCCATGCGTAACGAACTCAGCAACTACTCTATATCGCTATCGTCTTCTTCTGCGCCAGGCCCATAGCTTTCATCTGAGACGTCTGAATCATCACAATCGTCGTCTAACCTTCCTCCTTCCGACAGGTCTGAGTCTTCGCCAGATTCAACGTCAGACATGTCAGAACGGTAAGACTCGTTGCCCTCGCCGTCAAACAGGTCCTCGTCCCCTGCCCCCAACTCGTCGTCGCTGAGCGTATCGAGAAACAGCTCGGCCGCATCTGCAGAGCTCATCTGGAAGACGGCCCGTGTTCGGTGCATGGTCGCCTCGTGAGTGTCGGGAAACAAGATTCGTACGCAGCAGTACATATATAGCATCTTTCTCGACACCGAATCATCGCAGAGATCGAAAGTTGCTGGCAATGTCCCGGGGTGAACGGTGTCTTCCGGCGCATGGATTTCCCAAATCCGCGCGGAGAACATCAAAACCTGTTCGAGCACTTTGATGGTGATGAGCATGTTTCCAAAGTCAAAGTTCAGTGTCTTGTCAAACTCAAATAACAAGTTGGTCCTGTTGTCCGACGGGCCGTCGTCACGTTCCTCGGGCGCTTCGCGGACTTTCAGGCACGCTAGAAGCGCGGCGACCTTGACGACGAACTCTTTGCCTTGTAGTGGCCCACACAGGCAGCTTATGATGTAGGCGATGAACCGATCTCCCGCGGTGCTGTTCATATCTTCTTTGACTCTGTTCAGCGGCGGGTACCACGTGTCGTCGGTCAGCCCGTTGTCAGGGCAATTGACCGCCAGGCAGATGGCGAGGCAGCATCGCTCATCTTGTCTAAGCAGGTTGGTCCTGACTCTCATTAGCAGGAAGCTCCTGTGGCATTGTGATAGTGCGCCTCTCACCACATGGAATCCATGATCTCTTCCAGCGCGTCTGTGGTGATTCGGTAGCCCAGGCCATGCCATCGCCAATGAAGAGATTTATATCGTCAGAACCATGGCTCTAGACTGCCTTTGTTTTTGGACAAGGCACATTGTGCTCTCCGTACGTGTAAGCTCGTGTCGACATCCGATACCGTCTTCTGAGAAGCGAAGCTCTTCGCAGCTGGATTTTGCAGAAGCCGCCAACGGCTCGACGGTCAGCGTTTCCCACGAATGGCCGTTTTTGCAAAGTATCTGCAATGGCGCCGGGGCCATAGAACAGTCTCAAAGTTGATAATTGTGCTGTACAGTCCATACATACCCACGGCACCCGTGCATGGAGTGTGCTATATCAAGACGAGATCATCTCCTGGCTCACGCAGCCGTGAAAGCTCTGGTTCTTCGCTCATCGAGTTGGCGACGAAAGCAGCCCGAAAAGGACCAGACGGCCCTGTCAGGCTTACCAAAATTCTATCTCGTCTACATCTGGCGTCAGTTTCGCGGTTGGCAAACGCAGTGTCCGTCCTCACATAAGGTGATCCATGTCACGTACTTCGCTCGGCAACCCATCAGCTTTACACCTCATTCCGATGGCAATCCGACATGGCGGCCAGACCTTTGAAGCGCCCTCGCCGATCAAACGGTCTGCCGCGCCCACCAAGCGACATAGACAACGCAGTCGCGGCCCTGGGCGGGAGAACCCACGCAACCGACCTCGCAAACAGTACCATACAGTCTCAGAAGGCACCAGTCAGTAAGGAAAAACGTCTGGAAGAACTCGTGAGAGACTCCGGCCGCCTCAGGCAAGAACTTGACTATTGGAAAAGCTTGGCTCTTACAGGAACCACCTTCATGTCCGACGTTGAACAAGTTGTGGTACAGCTTCGAGATGTTTGCAGCCGTTTCGAGAGCGTCATGAATGAAGCAAACAATATGCCTGCGGAGGAGAGATTGGGCTCTGGCTATCCGTCCGAATCTCGACAGAGGGAAGACGTGGAGGTGCAGGCTGGTGACGAACCAGACTCGCCAGTAGTAGAGGATGACCTTGACGTGCTCTTGGCTCCCGTCAGGCGGGGTCGAGAAGGCTGTGACTTTGAGGCCGTCAAGCCACAGTTGAAGCGGAAGCAGCCACCATATAATCCCGGAGGTTGGCTCTGATAGGAAGCGCACGTGGCTTGCACCGGGATTCGCCGGGTCCATCTTCATCCTGTGATGTCATATAGAGGAAAAGGGAATCCATGCCCATGCACACAACCGTACATATCACCGCTGTCATTGATGTGAATCACTTCTGTCATCAATCATCAAGAGTTGAAAGGGCGTCACGCTGCTGTCTGACATGGCTCAAGCCCTCCGACGTCGCCGTCTGGAGGCGCCGTAAGTGATCCATTTCTGGAGAACGCCTGAGTGGTGTTTCGAATCTCTCTCCTGTGACTTGCTTCCATTTCTGACAGATTTGACAAAGGGCAAGGCCAGGTACTGTACATGGACGACTGCTTGCGGCTTTAGGGGAATATAACGACCCACTCGTAATTGCGTCCGAAGCCCGTTGATATTGCATTCAAGCCTCTTCAATCCTGTGACTGTCCCAAGCCTGGCTGATCCGCTGATCCCTTCATCCCATATCTAACTACGAGACACTCCAGAACCATCACCAATCTACTGTACTAGAAGAGATACTTCGCTGATGAGCCATAAATGCCCTTTTTAGCCAGTTCACGCGATCAACGTTATCATTACTAATGTCGGCTACAATAAGCTCCATGGCTAAGCAACAACGAGATGGGCACACCGCCACGCGTCGCACATCTTTGAAGTATATGAAGGCGTCCTCTAACCACGGTGTAGCAAGAGCTCAGCTTCGACTCAACGCTCTTCGCATTTTCCCCAAATGCCCAGGTCAGCGAAGAAAGTACTCGATTATGTCATGAACATCTTCTTCACCGACAACACATGGCATGAAACAGCCGCTAAACTCAAGGCCAATCCCATTTTCTTTGGATCTGACCTTGAACGACTTGCTCTTGGTGAAGACTGCCACGAGCTTCATCTCGCAGCTGCATCCATGGACTGGGTTGGAGATCTTCAATACAAAGCCAAGGTGGCCGAGTCGCTGAAACGGCCTCGTTTTAAAAGCTCTGGGGGCCTTTTGCGCCACCAGGGCCCGAGCCAGCGGTTCACGTTGAACATTCAAGAGGACAGCGATGACATGGACTACCATACCACAGTTCGAGCTTATGGCAGCCTGTTCTGCCAGAAGGGTGACGAATTGACCACTTGCGTACTATATTACAATAAGGGCCAGGGATTTCTGGAGTATTTCTACATTCCGCGCCACCAGCTGCCTTGGAAGAAACAATACAGAATACCTTTGCAGCACTCGTTGTCAGGGTATGACTCGAGGCCGCTCGACTGGGTTGTGGTTGAAGATGTGAACATAAAATAGCATTGAGACATATCATCACAATGCTGGCTGGCACACGAGTTTCTGCTGGAACCAACCACGCACGGCATCTACCGCTAGCCTTGCGGTATTTGATTGAGTTCTTGTACTGGGTCCTTGTACGGAGTTGTTGCAAGTGAACGGGTAGTAAGGTCTGTGAATTAGTAGAGACATGCGTCCCATAGAAATTCACCCATAGAAATTCAACTTTGACTTGCATGGCTGTACCACATGTCCATCGCCGAGCGAGATGAACTGATAACCGGACAACATTTGCATGCTCATTGAGGCCGAAGTCAAGGGTATGTTGGCGTTGTTTGTCAACGTAGCAAACAGTGAGGATCCGATGGTAATCACTAAGAACCAGATACCCTTGTGCTTTCGGGTCAGTAAATAGGAACGCCTTCGAGGCGTGCCTTTGCGGCTGCTTGACCGGGCAGAAACTTCAGGCCATTCCCTATCCAGCGGGGCCAAATCGGCCGTGCCGCCTTAGACAAAGCGATACTGTTTTGATTGCTTCCTTTTCGGAGTGGAAGGCGATGTCTTGGCAACGAAGCCTGTTTGTTTGACACAATACATTGATCATCTGCGGTAACAGGGGCTGACCGCACGGAATCACCCCGACCAGCCGGCTCATCCAGAAGCGGCTGTGATGCACCCTTACCGTCAGGAAGCCCCACGGCCAGTTGCAACCCAGATCACGCTCCAGATGCCGACGAGCGTCGATTCATTCGCAAGTGTCAACCAGTCCCCTGACTCCGACACTCATCTTCGTGTTGGCAGAGCTTCACAATCTTCTGGCCACTGGTCAGGTATCATCACCTCTCCCATCGCCTGCGGCGCTTCCGCTTCGCCGACCGAACCCTTCTCCGACACGCGGACTCGTGCAACCTGGCACGAAAACCAACAGCCATCTCCACGGCTGTGACGACCATTGGCGACCAGTACTCGGCACCACCTGCGCAAGTTTGGCATGCCTGGTTTGGCGAAGATCAACAGGTGAGCAGATTGAACCATCGACGTATATAGCGCAGCAATCTCCTCAGTCACGTACTTCACATCCTGCTCCAGCACAGCCAAACACTCAGCAACATCCTCAGCAAACCCTCCGGTAGCAATGCCTTCTCGAACCTCAATAGAGTATCTGTTGGCGCCCACTGCGGCTACGCCGACACTTTGTAACGAGACGGAGGCTTTTCAAGAAGATATCATCGGACCTCACACCCCGCCCACAGGTGCCATGTCACCGTCGATAGATTTCCAGCGCCATCAAGCAGACATGGATCAGTATTCTGACACCAGAGGCCATGCCACGTCGGCGTGCTCGTTATTATCGCCTGCAAAGCTGACGTCCTCTGGGCAACCGACCCTCAACGACATGGTCTCAGTATATACGCAGCAGTCTCCAAGCGTCACCTTCTCGAGTATGACCCTCCAGGAACAGATGTTCAGCGGTTACTACAATGCGGGCTCTGGCCTTTCGGCCCAGATGTGTCCCATCTGTTTACATATTGCATTCATGAAGTGAGTCTCTCCGAATGCTGTGAAGTAGTGAGTGGTCGCTGATAAACCCAAGTCCTTGTTTTCTACGGTCCATGTGTGGTCAACAATACTTCGAGGTCCCTAGCGCAGCAGTCTACGATCCGGCCTTTCTTCATGCGTCTCACGATTGCTACTGTGGATGGTGTGCTGGATGCGGAATCTGTGCGTTCAAGCCAGCAGAGCATAGCATACCGAGCGGCTCTTATACGGAGAGCTCACATCTCCAAACCGGGTTCACTGATGGATACCTGACAAATGCGGCTGACTCTTCTCACGCTATCTATGATGGGCCGCTCTCCCCATCGGTTTATGATCTTGATGGCCAACCCATCTCGCAACAGGGCTTTGTTCTTGGGAACGTCGACGACGGAGGTGCTGTTGGGGAGAACGTTAGACCTACTACTCTTCCAGTATCGGTCTTTCCCGAGCAGATAACTGCGTGGAAAGATTGAGAGGCCCCATCTTTCTCCTTGATTTCTTTTCACGTCCGGTCCTGCGCGGCATTGTATCATAGCTGGTGACATTTCGAATGTAGGATAGGATGAATGCAGAGAAGGACTTGCGTTACAGTATGTGCGAGCGGGGATGCAGAAAGCCCATCTCTTCCACGTCAGAGCCACCGACTGGACTCTACCGCCGTGATCTTCAGGCTATGAGCCCGCAGGTCGTGATGTCCTTCATCTACATGTAGTATCCAGATTCAAAATACATCACGAATCGGGAACAGGGTCACTTTTCCACGATCGGCCTGTTACATGCATCATCAGGTGGTTCTCGCATTCGTTCCGATTACAGTATAGACTTTTGGTTATTCTTTGTATTCTTCTCGAGTCAACACAAGCCGCTTGTTCCCACTTCCCCCGTTGGTGCCTGCCACAGCTTGTGACAACATGACACCAATGTTTGCACTAATGCCCTCATCCTCTATCCGCGCTCGCAGCCGTGCTCTCAGCTCCCTTGACAGATCCGAACTTCTCCAACATGCTTCCGATCAAAGAACGACCGGCCGCTGTGCCGTCCAAGTCCACACGACGGATAAACTGAAGAGGCTCCACAGCCGGCGTACTGGCTTCGGTGGAGCCTTCCCATTCTGTCATTTCGTCCGCTTCGATAATGGTGCATGTATCGAGACTGCGACTGGAAGCATCCTGCTCAATCTTTGCTCTGGCAGGTTTCTTAAGACGCCCTGTTCGACGTCTCTTGTGGCAGAATGCGGCGTTTGAAGCCTGGCGAGCCCCTGCCGGCGATTGACGAGATAACGGTCGGTCGCTGTTGGAGGTGTGGGGTTGGATTTGCTTCCTTCGTCCCTTCGAGACAAGCGGGGGGCGGAACGTCACTTGAGGGCCAGTCTTGGGAGGCGCCGGTCGAGGTCGCTCCATGTGGGGCGACATGGAAGAAACCCATTCACTCACGACGTCGAATGAACGCGAAGACTCCAGAGACATTTTGCTTGGCTGGCAATGCCTCGGAAGTGCAAATACTGTTTTCGGACAGCATCTCCATGGAACGTTGGACACTACATTTCAGCTCATATGTACATAGCTACAAATCTTGTTTTGGGACCTCGCGACAAAGCCGTTGCTGGATCAGTGGATCCTTGCATGCCCCAGGAGCCGCTCTTCGATCTGGGGTGTGTGCACTGTATGTAATCAAAAAGGGAGCTCGTTCTGGATTTGACAGCGCATCCCTGGTCGTGTCAGAGCCAGATCGGCGACCCCAGAATCACTTCAGGCAGTGCACCATATCTGGTCGCTCCACGTAACGGCACAAGTTGACCGATGGCCCAGAGCGCCAGAACCCTCATCCGACCTAGTTTTCTACCGTTGAGTCTACATCTGTCGGCCGCTGATCAACAAGCGGCGTGACTGGACCCGCTTTTCGCCGACCTCGTACGGTCCACTCATTGTGTCGGTAGTCACTCCCAAGGCCTGGCGCGCACTGGCAAGTCTCGTCATGCTCAGCCATCAATTGGATGTAACTGAAGAGGTCCTCTTCTGCTTCCCACGTCGGACAGGCGTAGCCGTCCCACTTGACGGCGTACAGATGGGCGCCATCGTCCGTCTCGTAGCAGCCCACGATACCCTGAAGATGGGATGCCCAAGTCGCGTTGCTTGGCCGCGGTCGCTCGACGCATTCTTGCCATACCTTGATGTACTCCCCGTCTTCGAAGACCCACAAAAATTGATAATCGCCCAGCCAATCCCACTCGAGGGGGTCACGGATCCCCACGACCACACCATAGAACATGTGAGCGCCACTCGTGGCGGTGCAAATGACTTCAACTACCTCAAGGCATGAGGACCAGGCTGCGTCGACCCTCGAACCTCGCCGCACTGTCATTTTGACGGTAATATCTTTGAGTGAGGTGGTTCAATGTGCATACAGTCTCCTTAGGGAACCGAGCCTCTTGGAGATTGAAGATGAGATAGCTGGGTTGTAGGCATTAGCCATCGTCAGATGGTCTATATTTATACAGCTACGTAGGCGGATACACGTTCGCCGGTGTTACAGTACGTGGCCGTATCTGCATGTGGTAACTTTCCGCAGTCAAAGTTGTCTTCTCTGTTCACCGGCGAAGCCTCTGATTCAGGCCTCCAGTCAGAACCACTGGCAAGATCGTGTCTGCGGTGGTGGTGTCTACCTGCAACATTGCGATACCACAACTGTGCAGACCTGGCAAAAGCACAATCACACTGTCTTGTATGTTTGAATATAAGGTTGCATTGAATAATGCAATTGTATAAATAGTTTGATGTATGGCAGAAAAGCCACCTTAACTGGCTTTGCTGTCACAATACATCTTCCTAGCAGCTCAACCCTCATACGAGCCGGCATATCTCCTTTACAGTTGAAATATCCTCTTAGTATCCTGACCAGCGCTCTCAAGAAGCCCTAAGAGTTCTCTCCGGATATGCCTGTCTTGAGACGGAACACCCACCCTCAACACCGCCTTCTCGCTGCCGTCGAATTCCACCAAAACGACAGCAGTCCATTTGTTCTTGGCAATCTCCTCCATCAACGCAGCTACAGCAGCAACAGGCACGGTCGTGCTACATTCATCGTGGCTTTCTGTCCAAGGCCACTGGGCTCTCTTCTTGTGTCTGGTGTGTTCGGTGCCGTCCAGTCATCCTCGGACGTGTCGTCAGGCGTAGCGGGGTCGGTATTGTCTTTTTCGTGTCAGCAGATGCCATTGACGATACGTACGTTACTGTACCGTAGAAGAACCTACAAGTATTGACACGAGCCCTTTTTCTACTACGTTTTTGTCTCACGACTTCAACGGCCTTCTGTCTTTTCTCGAGCTCATTTTCATCGCGGAAAGACCACTTGAAGAGCTGTGTTGTCAAGTGGTCCAAAGGCGAAATGCCTGTATCGAGCGTAGAATCCATGTCGTCTGAAAAAGTCAGTCAGCCTGTGAGCGTGCTTCTGGAAATGATGAAGATGGTGTGCACTTATGGCTTAACAAAGATGGCGGGCTCTATAATTTATACCTCTGCGCGGCTGGAGGACACTTGATTCCTAATCGTAATGAAAGCTATCCGGGACTATGAGCTCCCTACTAAGCAATGCAACCTCTCCTTCCATCAGGGATGTGATGTAACGCCTATGACTGGCAGCTACTCACCTTATCACTGGCTTCGTCTACCAATTGCCTCCCTCCCTGGTACCATTTCTCTTATGTTGGCAGTCCCACATCTCTCCCCTACCATCTCACCCCACCATACTAACACCACCTTCGCATGGCGCTCTTTCTTTCTGATCGGAAAACCCCTGCGATTACCGGCCCTGGCCTACTATCCTTCGCGTTTCGCAGCATGTTCAAGACGCCCGTCTTCGTCAGACTCATACCATCCTTCAGCATCTCCATGACGAGTCGCACAATCACGTTCGGCGACTCTTGCAAAAACCGTGATGCGGCAGCGTCGCCGCCCCGGGACGCTGCCCAGAAACAGTGCGAATACAGCACATGGAATATCTTCAACAGCTTAGGCTCTCGCGTCAACAGGCTGATCACACTCCAGTGGTCTTGTGCGTCCGCAAGACGCGCCAGCTTGCCGATATGTCGCACAACACGGCATCGTCCATCTTGGCACCGCGCCGCAGCAAGATGACGCCATCACGGGTTGCCATGACATGTGGAAAGTGCCCAGTCGAGACTCGTCGCACCATGCGAGTCGCGCCTGTCGATGTCTACAAACCCGAAGAAAGAAGCATCTCGGCCTCCCACGGCGCCGCTCTCGAGCCAGCTTCAGCAACAGAGGTCCTGTCCAGTTGCAGCGCGCCGATATGCAAACCACTTGGTTTGGGTCAGCGCCTGACTTGAGGAGGAGTTCGATGAGCCGTTGCTTCGCCGATGCCGTCCTGCCATCCGTTTCTTTGACCCGGGCCAGAAGCGCTAGTTCGAGCGGCTTTGATCGAAGATACGGAGCGCGGGTCGGCCCCCTCGACCAATCCGTCTAGCTCGCCCGTGGCGTCCGCCCCAGCCTTCAACAGTGCCAGGGCGGCGGAGAACATGCCGTCCTCGCACGCCATGCTGAGGGCCGTCATGCGCCATGTGTCGATCGTCGTAGGCTGGTTCACGTCGACGCCGAACTGCGCCAGCTGACCTATGACCGTTTCTGGCGACGGAGACAAAAGGGAGTGGATCAGTGGCGTGTCCCCGTTGTTGTCGGCCTCGTTTACTTCCATTCCTTTCTCGTCGATGAGGTACGTGATCACTTCGGTGAGCCCGGCGGCGGCGGCTTGATGGAGGGCGTTGATGCCAAACTCGGAAGACTCAAGCCGTGCGCCACGCCGAAGGAGAATCATGGACGTCCTGGCGTCTCCGCTGAGAAGAGATAGGAAGGCGGGAGTGCGTAGCCGGCAGTCCGGGACCCCGTCGATATCGGCGCCGTGGTCAAGGAGAAATGACACAATGTCAGGGTAGCCCTTCGAAGCGGCCAGATACAGGGCCGTAACGAGGAAAGGGCTGCATCGATGGGTCTCGGTCATATACATGGTGGCCGGTTTGTTGTAGTCAGCGCCGGCTTGGAAGGTGTGCTGGAGCGTGGCGAGGGCCACCCGCGTATCTGTACAGTTGGCAATGGTGTTGAAAACGGCAGAGTACTTTCCCGTTTTCACATCATTTCGGTAAAACTTGGGGTTGAAGAACGAATGCCAAGTGCGCGAGCATCGCGTGAACCTGGACTGGACATGGGGTTCGCTGTGATTGAAGATATGCCACGCCACGTCTAGGGAGATCGGCTCTGGAGGAGTAGACTTCATAGCGAGTGACGTCTATCGTACTGGGCGAGACGACGTGACCTGCGACGAAAGCGCGTCATAGCAAGAACAAGAGGGAGTCACGGAGTCACTGTAGGCTTGCCGGCCTCATATTCAATACAAGTATTCAGACTTCGTTCCATGGGACGGCGCTTTACGCCAGAAGCATCTCATACAGACACTGCAGATTCGGAGTTGACCATCTCGTTCAAGAAAGGTCTTGAGTTCTGCTGTTCAGGCGCTACGGTGCTTCTTTTGGTTATGAAAAAGGCATCTCGTTCATCCTCTAGGTGGACAGTAGTGTTCTTCGCGAGCGGTCTCTGGTTTTCTGGACATAAGCTGAAGATGGCTTCAGAATGCTAGGCAATTCGGACAGGTTCTAATGGCTCCGGTCTGGGTGGACGAGGATACCAAGCGTACAAGTGGTGTTCACGTCGGCTTTGGACGCCTAGCCCTCGTAAGACCGATGGAACCCAAATAGGTCTTCACCATACCTCGTACAGTGTCAGTGCCCGGAAATTGTTACATACTTGGGGACTCACCTGGCTTTCTGCTACGCGCACCTCCAGCAAGCGATTTCACACTTGCACGCACCATCAAATCGCTTGCGCGGGATTCGCGCCGGGCTCTTTCAAACAGCCCGTGTCGATGCTTGGGAGCCGGAGGGATGCATTCTCAAAAACGTGATCAGGAGTAGTTTTGTTCCGAAATGCCTTCCTCTTGTGAAATCCGTTTCCAACTCTGACCCCCCTACCTAGAGTTCGAAATCCAGGAGTTGGGCTGGGAAGCCGCTGCCTCTTCATTTTTGCAGGTCGTTTTTGGCGAGTGGTAAAATACCGCCCCTATCCCGACAAGATCTCACTTGATGGCTGGGCTCCCGTCTTCAACATCCGTTATGGTCCTTATGGGACGTCAGTTCTGGCCAGACTTTCTAGCCACACACTGCCTGCTTTACTGACGATCTGGCCTACAGGCTAGATTGAATTCAATCCTCACGAATCGTCACTCGAACAGCCTCCACATCCACTTTCAGTCCTTCTCAGCAGCAGGGGTATCAGTTCTGGGTTTTGGCCGACCTGCTCCCCAGCCACGCAACAATGATGTTACTACCTGATTCAGTGCCCTGTCTACAAAATCTAGATTTGGTTCTTTCGCAAGCCGACTTTATTGTCGGATTAGGAATAGGGAAAAGACCTATCCGGCAACGCGATTATACCCATGCTTGTTAGGACGACGTAGTGCCGAGGCCTAGAGATCTGCTGCGACCTTGCCTGGATTAAGAAGCACCCGCCGATTGCGACTCCTGACAGGGTTTGAAACGAGCAGGGTACTCAAAACAGGGAGGAGACTCATCAACGGATTACGAGGAGAGTAGATCTCAGAGTGAAGTTCAAAACTAGTCTAGATTGGTTACTGGTAGACTGCGCAATGCAACTGTGCGGAAGAGATCCTGTCTAGGCAATGATTTCATCGTTTTCGCCGTATGTCTGTTGCTTGAATTGATGTCCGCGTCTTTCGTTTCAATATCCTTGTGCCTCTCAATTCTCGTCAACTCTCTGGCAGAACCAATCAGCAAGCAAGTCACAGAATTCCAGATCAACGCAATTCATTCTGTTGTTGTACATAGTCGTTTCTGCAGTTCTCCCGGCTCATTTGTTCCCAATGTCCGCGAACCTGGTGCTGCACTAGGTCGGTCTCGAAGATAGAAGCACCGGTAAAATCTGCGAGATCTCAGGGATACCAACCTACGGCATAGCACACCCTCCGAGCTCGTTGCTGGATATACATCTAGGATACGAGAATATTTATTGGAACAAATACTCTAGGCACATATGACTTCGCGGATTTTGTGGTGGATGCGAACGAGCCGCTGAGACCGTAAAATGGCGCCCGATGCAATGAGCACTTTGTCAAACCATCGAACAGAGGGCTGCGAGAAAAGTTGCGCTAAGAACCTACTACCATTGCATGTTCGTCCTGTCTACCTGGTTGAAGTCTGTCAAAAAGATGCAATCGTTCCCTTTTCCAACGGTCTCCTCATTAAACCATTCGCCAACCAGAATCGTTCATCTCTTAGATGAGATTTGAATGGTTTGACAATGTGACAACATCATACCTCGCACGGAGTTTAAACTCGAGACTTGACTGTCTCCGTGAACAGTCGTGTCGAAAATCAAATGTTCTTCTTACTGCAATATCCCCTTTTCAGGACCTTGAAAGTCACACTGCGTCGATTCCCTCCTTGGTCCGTTGCCAAATCCATGCTTTCTGCTGCTATTGCCTGAGTTCGAGACACCCTTGCATCCAGCTGCCAAACTTTCATGTTGTCTTCAGGGCTATCCAGTAGCGCATCTATGCCTGGGTCTGGTTCGTTGCAGCTACGACGCAGAGATATCGTAGATGGCATCGAGTCCTAGGCCCAACTGAAAGGCCGCTTGCGAAAAAAAGCCATGTAAATAGTTCTAAGCAGAAACAGGCTAGTAATTGACTCTCCCTTAAAAATTGGTTGCTGATTCATGTTGTCGAAAAAGAGGAACTCCTTATTTCTCTCATAAGCCTCTCGAGTGGACCACGGACGCACGTTTAGTTTAGGTACTTTGTTGCTAGTGACGAACGGTTCCAGCGCACTGAGTTTTGCAGGGTGCTCTGCATCCTGAACAGACCAAGATGTTTGACATTGCATGTCAGAAATTGAATTCGCATGCAAGACTGTGTTCTGTTCCGGGCAAAGTGATTTAAGGGATCGGATTTTATCGGTCTCGAAGTATAAATGAGATGCCAAAACTGCAAATTTGGGGAGCATTCTGGGATCCGTTGTCATGCTTTGGAAATGTCGCATTGCGAAAAGCCACATCTGACACCAGCCAGTGTTGAATTGAGCCCCTGGCTCGATGACGCGGAATTCGAGCGTCAAATCGGAAGTTTGGACAGGATAGTGGTTGTCCGATATCGCATGTGGTCTGAAGCTGGCTAAGAGAATGTCATGTAGGCTACCGTGTCGAGGAAGCGATACAAGGGACTTGATGCAGTTCGCACATTCCTCAAGGTACCTGAAGTGTTTGAAGAACGTCGACAGCGAAAGTACCACGACATCCAAGCTGCAAAGGTTTTGCCAGATCGAATTTCGTTCAGTTTGGTCGAAGTTTCTGAACGCCCGGCCGCTGGACACAATGTCGCGGAGATCTCGTTCATCTCTGGTGGAGAAGCCAGGACACTTGAGCTCCAAGAGCTGCACTGTATCCTTGTCGATTTTGACTAGGTTGGACTCGATTCCCCCAACGACGTGCAGCCAAATATCATAGATCAGTTCCAAATAATTGACAATTTCCTGTACGTATCGTTAATCCGGTCCAGTCAAGAAGACGCTGAGAATACAGACCTCATCGCAGCGAACACTAGTGAATTTGTGAAGACTGCCCGTCAACATACCCGATCGAATGCCTGGGATACCCGCCAATTTTTCGAATGCGCGACGGAATTGCGGGTGCTCGGCGATCTGCCTCACGCCCCTCTTCTGATTAGGAGATAATAGGTCTTCCAAACGATGGACCTGACGGGTTTGATGATTTTTCTTGTGCCGCAGTATCTCAAAGAAGGCATCGCTCTCTATGAACACTCGGTTTGTGGCACAAGAATCGTCAGCCATCATGAAAATGTGATCTGCAGGTAACTCCCTGTTGGACCTCTGTGCTTCCACCTCTTCTTTGTACAGTATATGTACATAATATAGTACAGTAAAAGGCGTAACGGGCTTCGCCAGATTTCAAACTTAACATCTTTTGTAGTGGTGGTGTGGGGTCATGTCAAACATGGGATAGCAGATTACAGCTGTACTAGCCAAGTACTGATAGAGCAGCCGCTATCAGAGTTAAGATGCAAAGGCCAGAAATGGCTTACTGGTAATCCGCCATTTCTCTTTTCTATTATGGGTTTCAAAGCTGGTTCAAACCGTCGTTTGTCGGGTTCGATTCTGGCTCTGTTAGCAAAGGCTCCACCAATGACTTGCACTTTACAAGAGGCGTCTACTTACCCATGTGAGTAGCAACTCCACACCACCACTACTAAAAGTGTTAACTGCAGGGTTTGGCGACGCCCAATACGCCTTTTACTGTATTGATCATGTGTTGCTTCCTCTTGGCAACACACTTCATCTTTTTGGACTTGACCCACACAGGCTGGGCCCATAGTCGTTTACGGTGTACATGCGACCACGATCAGATGTGCGAGAATGACTGCTGTTGAAGCCGGTTATGGATACTTTGGAGTAGCTCTTGATCACGCGCTGCCACTCGCACTGTCGTTTGCCATCCTGTCCCAAATTTTTGTTTGCAAATCAACCGCTATAGCCAGTACCAGAGGTCTGTGGAGACCCATCACAGCAGTTTTCGGCTTTTCAAACATTGAGAATGTTTGTGAGAGAGGCATCCGATGCTTATTGGCTGTCCAACTATCTTTCATCCTGAATTGGCTCTCCGTCTCAACGCTACATAGATAATTTTGGTTGATTAAACATGGTGGTCATGACTCAACGGCCGTTCATCCGTTCCTGGCGTAAGCCATTTCTGGAGTGATCAATTTAGGTCCGCTGCCGGTGTTCTGTGCGAGACTGCAAGTATCCGCACTGTCAAAAAGAGTCCGTGCGCTTGGAGAATCAAAAGAGTTTAATCCAACAGGATGTGCTTTTTGCACATAGCTGGTTCACCGACGCAATCAAAACTTTCACACATGAGAAGCCTGCGTCGGCTCTTACAGTAAGATGCGGTGTCCTAGCACTAACAGCAACCGCCCTGCTTTGCCGCGTACTCTTTCCGCAGGTCCAGTTCCGCCAACCGCCTGGTTCTACTACCGGGTTCTATCACCTGGTTCTAAAGAAGGACATACTCTTCTCTCTTTGCCTCTCTGGTGATAAATTCGAGTGTGACTTTTCGTGCTGGAGACTTTCCTGTAGAAGGGTCTTTATGTTGACTGGATGGGGTTCCTTGATTGCTTGTTCTTGATTCTTGGTGGTGGCCTAGTTCTGGTGGGATGCCACTATCAGATGAAGCGACTGGCACCTGTAGATTGTCTCGACGAGGAGTACAGAAGAACGCCAAGTGTATGGATCTGCAAATGAATAGGCCAGAAAGTCTCCCGCCTCCCGTGCTCAGTTGCTGGTCCATGATGTCAACAAACATCGACTCAGCGGCGTCCGCATAAGATGTCTGATTTAGCCACGGCCGAGAATCATGCTTCGAACTATAGGCATCGGTGAAAAATTCGGGTGATTCCTGAGCTGAATCATTGTGCTGAAGGTCCGGGAACGTATGGGAAATCTTGTCGGCCACAGCTTGAAAGCTCAGAACGTCGTAAATATAGTCTTTCGGCGGTCGAGCCATTGTCAATGCTTGCTGCGCAACTTCCAAATCTGGGGACATAGACTTCAGACAACGAATATCCTTCGTATCGAACCCCAGTTCCGATGCCAGACTCGCCAGCTTGGGAAGTAAGCTTGGATTCGTTTCCATCTGTCGGAAATTTCTCATCGTCGAAAGCCATAACTGCCGCAACCCAAGCTGGAGACGAGCGTCTATCTCAATAGGTCGGTAGGAGAAACTCATGTCGGACTCCTCAATTGGATACAGGGTTTCATCTCTTATCGAATGCTTGAAGGCCCTCGTCAATGCTGACCTCACAGTGTGTCCATCCTGAGGTACAGCAACCAAACGCTTCATCCATTTTGTGCACAATTCAAGGTACTTGACGTCGTTGAAAAATGTTGTCAGCGATGGAATCGTAGAGTTAATGGAACAAATATTTTTCCAAATGACAGTTCGTTCAGATTCGTCAAAAAACCTGAAGACACGACCGTCCAGAACTGCGTTCCGAAGCAATCTTGCATCCTCTGCTGGAAATCTAGGGCACCGGAGCTCCACAGACTGGACAGTGAATGAATCAATCTTTCCGAGATTTGACTCAATATTCCCAGCAAGATACAGCCATGTGTTGTATATATGCTCGAGGTAATTCACAACTTCCTATGAGGGATTAGTGTGGGCTTTGCTCTGGAGGGGGAAGGACGCAGACCTCGTCGCATTTGAGAGCGATGAGCTTATTGAGGTTGCCGATCACTAGGCCCGATCGCAGACCCGGGATCCGTGACAAATGGTCGAAGGCGTTGTAAAACGCTTGGTGTTTAGCTATCTGTCTGACACATCTCCTCTTGTGGTCCGATAGAGAGGACTCTAGTCGATGCGCGACTCGGTGATCATTGCGCTTTTTGCTTCGGAGTATTTTCCAAAAAGCATCACGATCTGTGAGGTCGCCCTCAAAACGTCTCTTGTTCTTGGTCATCGAATCGATCATGACGCTTCATGACGCTGGACGTTGAATGTGGAATCCCGGTTTAATTCCCCTTTTGAATGTACTTCACAATTCGGAGCCGGTCCTGGATTTATGCGTTTTCTCTAATCATACCACTAAGCCGGCCTCCCGACATCACTATCGTGCTTCCAGATCCACGTACCCAGCAGCTTGCGCTACCGTCCACGGCCATGTATGTGTATACACCAGAGTTTTCACCCCGTCTAAGCCGCATATGGCTCTATCCTCTGTTTCATACTTTCTGAACACTAGCAGACAGTCTACGTCTCTTCATCGGGCGCAGCAGAACAGGGTCAAACAGATACTTGCCACACTAGGCTAGCGTCGTTGGAAACATGAGGTAGAAGGAGTCTCATGGAGCGAGCCGGGGCGGTGATTGAGTACGCTTCTGGCTATTGAGTACGCTTCTGGGCTTTTGAGCGTACAGTAGGTTCAACCAGGATAAGATTTAGCCGAGACACATGTGGTTTTGTTATGTACATACGTATGTGCTGTACGATACAGTAGATTGTGTGAGGGTCACGGCTGTAGAGATCAGGTTCTAGGTAGTAGGTGGATTGTGATGACCCGTAGGGTCAGGTCTAGATACAAGATGCAACGCGAAGAAGAGGAAAGAGAGATCGCGCCGTGCGAGCAGCGCGTCGCCGCAAGAAAAGGGGTCATGGCGAAGCCATGACTCGCGATTCCCCTGGCACCACCCTGGCACGCGATCCCGTGACAGATTGTGACAAAACGAGAGTGCTTGGGTTAATGTACCAATGTCCCCGCTGAGCCCACAAGCTAAAAGGCAAACTGCTCAGTCAGAAACCGATTCCCAAGCTACTACATCACCGAACCGTGGCACATCGGCTACGTAACCCGGAAAAAGTATGTGATGGGACGGCCCAGCCATACTGTCCTGGCCCCTATGGTCATTTGTTTGGATTGCTCTCAAAAAAGACTTCAGCGAGTTCAATGTTACTGCAGTAACGGGCCTATTGGCCCCGGATGAGGTCGTCTGGACACAAGACTATGCTGTAGTAATTACAGTGTGAGCTTCACAGCTCCAGAAAGTTGGGTTGATGGTTGATATAACAGATGGATTGTTTTAATGACCCGTAGTGTCGGGTCTAGACGTAACGCGAAGAAGACAAGCGAGCGGCGCTTCGCCGTAAGAAAAGGGGTCATGGCTTCGCCAAGACTCCTGACACCACCCTGGCACGCGATCTCGTGACACGCGGAACGCAACTAATGGTCCAGAATCTGGTATTATGTACCAAAGTGCTCCTGACTGTCTTACATCTTTGACCTTGACCGAAATTGCAATAGCTGTTCACTGCTCGAGCTGGGCCGGGAAACATGGGCCTGTAGCGGATGTTAGCGTCAAGACTGTTCTAGGTCCTCAGCGAACATGTGCAGTCTCCCGTATACATATGGACTACGAAAAGCCGACGACTGTTGTGAGAATAATACATAAAGTATCATTGGTACAATAGTATACTTATGAGATACCAAACATGAAGGCTTCTATCGTAACGGGTCGAAGATGTAGGACTCGAGACTTTTGAGAAATGATTTGAGTTCATACTAAGATCTGATATGATTTGATATGATTTGATGATTTGATTATATCCTACTCGATTTTGGCCGCTTTAGTCAGCAGCTATGCCCGGATAGCGGGGTTTGGCCAACAGCCGACGCGCTCCGGGTGTATCCGGGACGCCCCACTTCGCCAGTGCAAAACACTGGCCAGCTGTCTCCAAATTTCCCACTTTGCTCTCCAACCTCAACTACCCTTGGCTGCCACCTGGTGTAGTTCGCGGTTCTCTGCTAATGTACATGCATGTCTAGGCTCCATTGAGGTCTTCCTCCTCGTGCAACGGTTCAGCGTACCTACAGTCTCGTCTGGTGTGCGACTCGATCCCGTGTTGCCCAAGGATCTCGGTCTCTTCTATGAATCGGATTGCCTTGGCGGCTGCTTTGCGCTTGTTCTGTATGACCCGGAGATTGTGTCGTCCTGGGAGGGTTCCGAATTCCTGGCGTCGGAGTTGTCGCAACCTGCGGCATCGCAGCAGGATGTGCGATACCGTTTGTCGTCCTTCCCGGCATGGGCAGTTGGCGTTGGTGATGCCCGGTACTCTTCGGTTGAAGAGGAAATCCTGGAGCCCGATCTTTTCCGTGCGCATCTGGACCAAGAGTGCGCTTTGGCGTTTACTGAGGCCTTCGTGGAGTTCGAGGACCTCCTTCGTCGGCTTCGGCGTGAGACGGAACGATGTTCTCCCTCGCGTCTCGGTTTTCCAATTGGTTTGCCACGCGTGGTGGGACTGTTTATGCGACCATGTCTTGACTGTCGACCTGAGCTTGAACAAGTCTCTCGGCTTGTCTGCCCTGGAACCTGTCTGTCCGTCTGGCCTCCATCCCGTCGCCTCCTTGGCTGCGATATCTGCTGCTTCGTAGCCCTGGATGCCGACGAGGGCAGGTACCCATCGGAGCTCGACTTTGAGTCCCTGCTCTCAGAGGGCTTGTGTCTTTTCTGCGATGGTCTTGAGAAGGTACGCGCCGGACTTCCCCTTTGGTTTGGCTGACGATCTGATGGCGGCCTGATTGTCGGTGTGTATGAAGACTTTGCTTCGGTAGTTTCCGCTTTCCTTGTCTGCCTGCGCCATCTCGAGGGCCAGAACGATGCCCTGCAGCTCTCCCGCGTAGACTGTCGATGTCGTGTCGTCCCCCATGTGAGATTTCCTAGTTTGCTGTGTAGCTGTGCAGACTGCTGCCGCTCCGATCTGACCGTCGATGCCGCTGCCGTCTGTATAGATGTGGGCTGCGTCGGTGTTCTTTTCCAGGCAACGTTCGTGTTCTTTTTCGGCCTGCTCCGTGCCTCCGGCGATGTGGATACGCGGTCCCTGCCACCACGGAGGAGTGATGAAAGGCGGTATGTGCTCGTGTTCGTGTTGTTCGCTGGTTATACATTGTCCATCGTGTATTCGGTTTGTTATCGTCTGTCTTGGGCTCGTTTTCTTTCCTCTGCGTGCGGTGACTTCGGCCATGCCTACTCTGCTGATGGTGTCGATGTTGTGTTTCCATATCTGTTGTTCGACTGGCAGGAGGTGCATTTCCACATCTAGTATTGGGAACGAGGTTGCTCTGTATGCTCCGCACATTGCCCTGACTGCTCTGGCTTGGAGCCTCTGCAGTCTGTTCAATGTTCTCTTCGTGTAGCCCATCTCTCCCCAACCGCTGTTGGACCACAGCGAGCATGCGTACATCATTTGTGGTATTGCAACGCCCTTGTAAATCGTTCTCATCTCTCTCGTCATCACGCCCCACGTGGAGCTGCCTAGACTGCTCAGTGCTGTGATGGTGTTCGTGACCTTGCGTTCTGTCTCGTCGATGTGTTGTTTCCACTTCAGGGCTGAGTCCATAGTGAGACCGAGGTATTTACAGGTTGTTTTAGGCTTGATTTCTCCCCACTGGCTGTGGAGTGTTGTGCCTATGTCGATTCGGGTTTTCGCTCTTGTGAAGTGTGTAAGCTGGAACTTTTCGGGCGCGAAGACGGACGCGTGAGTGAGAGCCCACGTCTCGGCTTTCCGAAGCGCTTCTTGGAGCTTCTGGCAAGTTTCCTCAGTGCTGTTTCCCACGGCTAGGATTGCTACGTCGTCGATGAAGCCGGTGGCTGTCGTATCTCCGGTCTCATTGCAGCTGTCCAAGAGATCTGCGTTGTAGAAGAGGTAGAGTATTGGCGAAAGAGGCGAGCCTTGTGGGATGCCAGTGTCGAGTTTGTAAGTTTCGGACCGGAACCCGTCCACGTGGATCTCCGTCTCCCGGCATCCCAGGAAACTGGCAATCCAACGCACCGTCGCTTCGTCGATGCGTCTCTTCCTTAGGTTATGCAGGAGTCGGCGGTGCGAAACATTATCGAAGGCGCCTGACACGTCCAGGAGAAGTAGGCTTGCTACCATTCCCTTCCCTGAACCCCAGGCTTCGTATATTTTATCTACGATTTGATGTAGTGCGTGTTCCGTCGACCGACATCTTCTCCCGCCCATGTGGCTATCTGGCAGCAGTCCATGTGTTTCGGCAAGGTAGCTCAGTCTCCTCGCTATGATGGCATCCATGATCTTGCCTATCGTGTTGAGGAGCGCTATCGGCCTGTATGCTTTGGGCACTGTATAGTTGTCTTTGCCTGGCTTCCTGAGTACCACCGTGGTGGACTTTCTGAAGTGTTGTGGGCAATATCCTAACCGGAGACTCTGGTTGAATATGCGGGCGAGATGTGCCGTGATCCATGGTCTCGCCACTTGAAGTGCCAGGTTCGTGATGCCGTCGGGGCCCGGGGCCTTCAGCGGTGCTGCTTCCTGGATGGCGTCTTCTACTTCGCTTTCCGATACTGGCGGCAGGCCAATCTGGTTGCTGTACGATGTGTTGTCGATGTCTTCGAGGTTTGCCTCGGGTGGCGGGGGGAAGAAGGTCTCCTTGAAGAGTGCTGCTTTCTCCTCAGGCGTTGTGGCGACCTGAGACGTGTTGGGTTTCTTAATTTCCGGCGTGACGGTTGGCGGCTGGCTCTGTCTGTTCCGGGCCCATTTGGCGATCTTCCATAGCGATCTGGGTGATTCGGCCGCTGTTTCTACCGCTTCGCGATGTGCTTGTTGTAGAGCTTTCTTTATGACGCGACCTTTTCTATTCCGTGCCTCTCTGTATGCCTCCCAGCTCTCCTCTGTCTGTCGCTCGCTGTAATCGCGGCGGAGTCGTTTCGTCTCGGCCAGGATGGCTGCACACTGCTCGTCCCAGCCTCTCCTGGATTTGGGGGAAATGATGCTGGTCGGGACGGCCACTCTGGTGGCGGTTAACAGGGCGTCTGTGATTTTCTCTACGTATCCGTCGAGCGCTGCCTTCGTTCTTGGTCTTCGTAGCTGCGGCAACGATCCCCGGAGCGTCTCGACGAATCTTTCCTTATCAACAGCTTTCCACTTCCGTTTCTCCTCTCGTTGTAGCTCGGTCACTGCTATGTGCAGGGACGTCGCTATGGGTAGATGATCGGAGTCATGGCCGATGTTGTTGTCTACTTCGCATCTGATCATTCGGTCAACGAGACCTACAGTTACGAGACAGAGGTCGATAGTTGTCCGGTGATCTCCTTCTTCGTACGTTATGGTTCCCGCTCTCAGTTGACTCGTAAGGTTCATGTCGTCCATTAGATCTAAGAGCTCGGTTGCTTCGCGGTCCGGCGCTCGGATATCGCTGCCTCCCCACAGCTCATGGTGTAGGTTGAAGTCACCGACGACGATTTGCTCGACGTGCTGGTGTGTTTCCAGCGTTGTTCGTAGCTGCTGTAGGACCGGCTGTCGATCTTCCTCCCGCGGTGACGGGTTGTACACATTATGTAGCACTAGGCTTGTTTCGGTATCGTCATCTGTTGCGATAATCAGAGTGCAGAGATCTCTGCTGACCTCCCTAAATTGCCATCGAGAGTGGTCGAGCTTCTTGTTGATGAAGAAGCAGACCCTGGCTTGGCCTCTTTCCTCGCTGCAGGGGTAGCACAGGTGGAACTGGTCCTTGGCCGGATGGTGTGTCGTTGCGCTGTAGGGGTTCCTCCACGGTTCCTGAATAGCAACTATGTCGTAATTATCGATGTTCGGGTCACGGAGAAGTGCCGCCATGACGGTATCCTTCGATTTTCTTACGTTGTACTGTAGTATTGTGAGTGTGTGTTGTGCGTTCATTCGCTATCGTCGACAACAATCTCCATCGCTGTGCTGTTGCTTATCGTCTGCGTGTCTGTCATCTGCGTGTTGGGGTCGAGCGCCTCGAGCGCTCTTCGCGATCGGATGATTGTGCGTCTCGGACGCGTATTCTCTGCAGCTACGGTAATCGTCTCCTCCGATTCCTGGGTTGCTGTCGGGTTAGGCCTCTTCTGGATCTTCTTCGTTGGGGACCGGCTCCGGCTCGGACGATTCTCCTGGGATTGTCCTGGTTCCAGTGGCGGCCGTGTGATTCTCGGGTTCGGCCTGGTCCGGGTTTCCGGTCCTAGGGCCGGGTGTGGGGCCGTTTGTTCTGGATGGTACCTCGACCGTTGGCCGTAGGCGGCCTTGATCTTGGCCTTCTCGCGGATCCTGGTAGGGCATCCGCCGTGCCACGCCTCGTGTTCACCGTAGCATGCGGCGCATTTCCTTGGGGTCGTCGTGTCGCTTTTCGAGGGGCAATCTCGGGTCGCGTGTTCTTGCGCGCAGTAGCCGCATGTTATTGTTGCCTTGCACTGGGTTCCTATGTGGCCGTATGCGCAGCACTTGAAACACTGCCTCAGACGGCACTGTCTGTCATATCGTTCGCATTGGAACACCTGGCCTTGCCAGATGAGTCCCTCGTCAATCAGTTTATTGGCGTCTTCCGCCCTTGAGAGCTCCACAACCACTGATGATGCCGTCTTTTTGCTGGCTGATTGGGTCAGCCAGCCTACGTACTTGATGTCTGCTCTGGGGATGAATGCCTTATTGTCCTGTAGCAGGTCGTCTCTGATTTCTGTGAAGCGATCCATGTTCATGGAGCTGGTTCTGATGCCATGCGCTAGCACTCCGTAAGTTGGGATCCGCACCGCGGCTCCGTTACCGATGTGGTTTTCCCAGTCCTCGGCAAATTGCCGGAGGACCTCCATGTCTTTCGTCGTTGCTGTCTTGACGCTCAGGTCGCCGCTCTTGAGTTGATTGGCAGACACGGTCTTGAGCTTGCGGATATGCTCGTTGCTGCTTTGTTCGATGGCGCGGTCTACGTGCGCCTTGAGGCTACGGGGGTTCATGGCTCTTATGCTGGCAATGGTGATGGGGTCTCTAATGTTCACAATGATCTCACGTAGAGTCTGGGTCTGGGACGCTCTCTGGTTATAGGGGTTATGCATGCTCCCTGCAAGTCCTCCTCGGGCGGCTACGCTAGCATATGACTGCACGGTGTTCCCCTGATTCATCGGCTCCAGTGCTTTAATATCCTTCACGACCTTGACCGCCAGCTCGCTGGCTTTCCAAGCCTCCTTGGCAGCCGCGTTGGCCGCGCGTGTTGTGTTGGTATTTTCCTTGAGTTCGACCGTGTTCTGCTGCATGGCAATTCTGATGCTTCGCGTGTCGCGGGTGGTGTTTTCGCTGGCTGTTTTGGTTTCTGCACGTAGGCTTTCGATGGCTTGGTGGAGGTGTCCGAGTTCGGGTAGGTTTTGCATTTTGACAAGCAGAGAGAGGGTTGCGATGAGCGTGGCCCTCACAGCTTGCGGGTTGAGGGGTTGTCCGTTTGCGGTATCGATTGATTTGACTGCTGTCTGAAGGTGTCTGTTAAGTTGGGTGGCATGCTCTCGATGTTGCGTTGGCCATAGTTGCTCCTGGGGCCATGGGGTTGCCATGGTGCCTGCGTCGCTTATGGGCTTCACGACGAGCACACGGCTGTCCAATTGACCTTTCGGAGTGTGTTGTGGCGCTGTTTTGGCTCCGATTTCAAAAATTTCGTTCTCGCTTTTGTTGATGTTTTTGCAGTACATGTGTCCCCGGCCTTCTTCGACTCTACTTCCAGCATTTGCTCCTTGAATAAGCTTCATCTCTTGACGTGATGCCGAGGCCGAATACAGGGAAGTGAGTAATCAAGTTCACCGCCTGCTGAAAATGGCCCTCGATGTGCCGGGCTCCATACCGCCTGCCTGACTGAATGTAATGTCCGTGCTTGATCCGAGACCCTGTCAGTCACACCACCTTCCTATCTAGACGCGCAGGAGCCTCACCGTTACGACTCACCGCCTTCCTATCCAAGGCATGAATCCTCGTGAAACCCTGCTCTGGGCATGACACCGCCTTCCTGAATCCGCACCGTCCAGGTGGCGACTCCGCCAGAAATCTCACCGCTTGCTCACAATGCCAAACACCCCAGTGCTACGGTTGGCGCTTGTTCACCGCCTACGGATCGAGCGGGTACCCGTAAGGGGCTTTCTACACCACTTACCGAATTGCGCAGTGTCCTCAGGAGCTTTGCTCTGGCCACCCACACCCCCTTCACTTTTGAGCCAAGAGGCTTGACCCCCCAAGCAGCATTTGTCTTACCTTTTCACGACAAACCCTTAGCCAGACCTACTATCCAGTAGGACATGCTGATCTATTCACCGCCTACTCGGAATAAATCATTATCTTGCCTGTTGCCCTTCCACTGCACCCCACCTTACACTACACGTATTGCAAAGCCCTTATGCAACTCATCACAAGCGCCATGCTGATAGGTTCTGTGTTCTTTGCGCAATGTTTCCGGACTAGAGATGCACTCAGCTGCGCATGTCGCTGTTCTTTTGCCATAACACTTGATTAGCTTGATTGGTCAGGTTGGCTGATGTCGCTGAAAGCCCCGGATCCCGATGGCATCACCAAACTGGCACTTCGAATGGGGAGAAAATGGTGGCGGGACACGATTGTTAGGTGGGGGTCAATGGAATGTATTGATGTAAATGAGGAATGAGTGGCTATCGGAATATCCCGACTATCTTTGTAGTGCAATGAAGACCCCCTATATCGGCATATTCTTGGCAAACTTAGTTATGCTTGTGTAAGACCATAGGGTCCCCCTAGGCATGGTGTGACAATCATTGTAACGAGTGCACTGGGATATGCCTGACAAATGGATTGCATTACACCTCGTGCGCACATCCTCCAACTCGAATATTGTCCGAAACACTCCAGGAAGTCCACCACAGTAGGGTTGAGAAAGCCAGATGAAAAAACTACACAGCGCACAAGATATACAGGCCTGATGGCACTCTTCAACACGGTTGAAAAAGTCGTGGATACCATAAATAGCACAAAGACTGAGCTACCCTGCCGAAACACCCGGGCTGCTCCCAGATAGTCACATGGGCGAGTGAACACGCACTGCATCAATCGTGTACAGATATACGAAGCCTAGGGCTCAAGGGAATGGCAGCAAGCCTATTTCTCCTGGCCGTGTCAAGCGCCTTCTATAGTCCTTCGCACAGCTAACTTCTGCACAACTCGGGGAAGAGACGTGATGACGAAGTGGCGGCGTGTTGAAATGCCAGTTCTCTCGGATGCTGAGGTTAAACTAAGACGGATCGCCCCTATCGCCGATAGCCCACCTTTTCTACGACGCGGATTTCTTGAAAAGCTGCAATGAAGCCGAAAACATGACTGAAGCCCGCTGGGAGCCTCGTTCAAGCTTAGGTCAATAGTCGAGACAAGGTCGTACAAACAGTCTCACCCAATTTGGCGAACCGACTCGGAAAAAGAGATGCGAGGGAGGACGTCGTTCAGTGTCACGCTGAAGCCAACGAAGAACATCATTGAACTCCACGAAGGCCTCAGTGATGGCCAAAGCGCACTCTTGGTCTGGATGCGCAAGGAAAAGATCGGACTCCAGGACTTCCTCTCAAGATTTTACAACGCCCACTGCCTCTGCCGGGGAGGACGACAAACGATATGGCACATCAAGCTGCGATGCGGCAGGATTCAACAGCACGCCAGAGATTCGAAGTGCTTCCTGGAAGATACATCTTCCGGATCATACTGAAGAAGCGCAAAGCAGCCAGCAAGGCAGTCCGATCCGAACAGACCGACATCCTTAGGCAACACGTGATCAAGTGACAACCTGGCAGAACCTGGGATACCCTTGCTTAGGTGAAACTCACCGCATACAGTCATTACTCAGTTAACCGCACAGTCGGGCCAGGATTGCCCTACTAGGGATAGATGCCACTCGTTTATATAGATCTACTGCAGGCCCAGCAGGTCGCCCTAAGAAAGGGAACGAGACATATCCCCAATTCATTATGCCACTGCTGACCATACTGAAGATCTATCACAACCGCACAAAGCTGAGTATTGGGGGAGACTGAGGTACTTGGAACCGTCACACGAGGAGCAAGACTTGAAAAGGGCCTAGACACATATATAAAAAATAGCAGAGAACCGCCAAATACACTTGGTGGCTGCCAGGGATAGATGAGGTTGGAGGGCAATATGGGAACTTTGGAGACAGCCAGTCAAGTGGCGAGTTCGGGTGCTACGGGTTAACAGCCGGAGCGCGTCAGCCGCTGGCCGAACCCCACTATTCGGGCATAGCTGCTGACATAAAGGCGGCTGATTAAATAAACCAATCTCTAAGCAACATGGTGTGCCTTACTCGAACCCCGCATAAGCTGACCAACCTCATCATAGCTTCCATGGGTAAGAAAGTGAAACGGATGGCCGAGTCCAAGACTCTCCTTAAGGAGATTGCAGAGTAAAAGTTCTTGGATATCTCACCAACGCAAGATGAGAACTGACTATGGCATACAAGGCTTTTCAATAAATCAGACCATGCCGACGTCAAAATTCGTATCGGCGAGTTCGAGTTGCCGGCCCACGGCTTAGTCCTAGCGGCTCACAGCCCATACTTCAAGAACGCCCTCAAGGGCAACTTCCAAGAAAGCGAGAGCAAGACGTTTGAGTTCCGCGAAGGAAGTGCACATGCGGAGAGGTCCGACTGTTTCACTCCATCATGCAAGCTCTGCGGACACGAGGCAACAGAATCACTCTCTTCTGGCTTCCATCAGCGATAGAGTCAGACCTGGCGCAAGCGGCCAAAGCAGCAGCAAAAGACAGTACGCGACCGAACAAGACACCGCAGAAACGACCGGCCAGAGCCTACTCGACGGCACTTAGGATCGCTTTACAGAGCGTGCGACAGAAGCACGGAGCCTTGCCCCACAACGTAGGAGCATATTCGAAGAAGATCGATGTGGCTTTACCAGGAAAGCATACACGCGAGCTATACGATGGACTGTCCTGGAAAGAAGCCAGTATCCTGGCGCAACTGCGCACCGGCATGGCAAGACTGAGTTGGTACCTGCACCAGATCGGTGCGGCTGCCTCGGCGCAATGCGCCTGCGGGCAAGCGGCAGAAACGGTAGAGCATTTTCTCTTCCGTTGCACACAGTGGACGGCACAACGAACTCGGATGCTTCAACAGACGGAGTGGCATAGAGGGAACCTATCGTACTTTCTCGGAGGAAAAAACGCGTCCGATCCTGATGACTGGTCGCCAAACGTAGATATTGTCAAAGAGACGATCAAGTTCGCCATGAGCACGGAGAGACTAGATACACAGATCAGCCAGCAGCGAAACCACACACCATCTACATCAACACACTAACCGACGACATCCCCCACGCACCCTCGTGCCATCGACAGCAGGACTAGCTTCGGCCGCCGACGATAGGACGCCGAACACTTTGGGAGACACCTTCAGGATGGCCTATTACTAACTCCACGAGCAACCGCAGCATCGGCATGTAAAACTGAAGATAACATATGCGGAGACGGACAAGGCTTGTGTGGGCTTCTGGGAGACAAGGATATGAACGCAGGTGGCGAATATGTAGATAACCATGCGAGCCCTGAATAGCTTAGCCGGGGCGTAATAAACTATGTATGTATGTATGTATGTACTCCGTAGAGGTATCACTTGCGGGGTAAGGCCCACACGGCCTCCGCGGCACAACTAGGCTGGGCGCGGCGCTAAGTGCGCCAACCAAAGCGTGGCCTATTGCAGAAAAGGGGCCCGAGTTCGAACATAAATTCACTGCTTATCCATTGACTTCCCCAGCCACAAGGTATGTCGGCGAGGCGGCCAATGCAAGCAGATGCGGTACTACATTGGCAACGTTTTCCAAGCATGGCGGACCCTTTAAGCATCACCACATCCGTGCTTGCGCTACTCACGACAGCCGCTCAGTCTGTAAAGTTGCTTGTCGAGACTGTCAATCGCTACAAAGGTCGGGATAGAACCCTGTCTCGACTACAAGCAGAGCTCGAGGCCTTCTTACGGATCCTAGATGCGCTACACAAGGTCGTCGAAACAGAATCCGCCATGATGGTCCTTCTTAAAGACCCTATTCTCCGATGCAGCCAGTTATGTAACGACTTCGAGAAAGCCATGAGGGTGTTCAGCGGGAAGTCTAAAGTGGGCTTCCGAGATTGGGCAAAAATGGAGTTCATGCGGGGCGACATCAACGATTTCTTGGACGCTTTGTCGGGTTACAAAGAAACGATCTCGATAGGTCTCGGCACAATCACCATGTTGGTTACCCATCCTGCCGATTTGCGTCAACTCGAGTCTCATTTTGCAGTGGCTTACATCATGTTAGGCAGACATCTAAAGCTTCTCAGAAAGTCCTCGAGGAATACAACGAGATGATCATGGATACCATCTATCGCCTCAACGTTCGACTGCAGCGTATCGACGAAAAGATGGACGGGTTGACTACGGAAGTTGCAGGCAGCGTGGATGCCTCTGGCATGACCACAGACCTGGAGGATGAGCGGGTTATCACAGAGCGATGCCTGCGAATCTGTGAGGATGCGCAGCATTATCTTGAGACCTTGGCGAGCGATGGGGACCTTCTGAAGCAACAACTGCCCCCGACTAATAGTGGAAACAACCAGGTGCGATTCGAAGCACAGCTGATGATACGCCGAACACTCGACGAAAACCGGGATAACTTCTCGGAAACCATCGGTCGGTTGCATGAGCGCTTAGCGTCCTTGCCTCGGAACGGGACAAGTCAAGATGAAAGCGAGAAATCACGGTTGGAGGAGGACCTCAAGGCTTCGAAGAAGTGTCTAGAGGTCTGTAAAGCGGCCTCTGAGACAGTTGCCCAGCAGAGAATTTATCGGGTTGGTGAGTTAATTGCAGATGTCGAAAGCGACCAAGTAGTTATCACCACCTTGGCAGACCTCTTTGACGTCAAGAAGGCATCATCTACGAACGGCTCAGCGCAGTGGATCGGCTCGTTTACGGACGAAACGGCTCGACAGATATCCACAGATCGTTATCGCAGTCGTTTTGGGGCACTGTCTAGCACTGAGATGGGTACCACCACTCAGGTTCCGCGGGATTCATGGACGGCCAAAGATCACACTGCGCGTCGAACCAACACCGACAGACAACCATCTGCGCGGGAGGCGACGGAGAGGAGGCCGATTCCAAACGAAGTCAGGAGGCGTGCTTCTGGAGCCGATGGGAAAAGGCCGGCCAACGACGAGGTGTGAATAAGCGCAAGGCGCACCTGTGGATTATGGCCACCGTGGTCAATAATGGCACTGTCATATGGGTGACTGTATCATAAAATTGTTCCTATGAGATTTAGGATTTGTAGTGTGGAGTAAAGAAAGCATACATATGAAAACGCCCGACATTCAAGACTCTAATACACAGCGTGACTTATGCGAAGGGGGCAGTCACCGCCAGCTCGAAGTAGGAGACCTAGCTTGGGTGAAGCTTAGACTCGCGACACCTCGACATCACCCTGGCACGCGATCCCGTGATGCTGGGGACGAAAAGGCAAGACAGTGCCGGACCTTCAAGGTGCGGAAAGCAGAAGAATGACAAAACAGTTACCAAAATTGCCGTACTGGTATGCTACCTGAAATGTTCGTACCAAGATGGCCTAACATTCTCGTACTAATAAGACCATTCGTACCGGTATGCTGTTCGTACCAGTCTGCTATTCGTACCGGTATGCTATGCGTACCAGTATGGCAATTCGGTGCGCCTAAATTACCGTACTGGTATGACTATTCGGATCTAAACTATTCGGATCTAAACTATTCGTACCAGTATGACATTCGTACCAGTATGCTGTTCGTACAGGTACGGTAGGCATACTGGTATACCAAAAATATCGGTGTACCGCTGACCAAGTACAGGACCTCATTCCAGGGCGGAGTCGAAGTTATCGACCAAGTCCTCTTCCAGCATCGCCTGGTGCCTCAATGTCCTTCACGCTGTATCTCGTCACCTTGTCCCTAGACATGACCTATTGGGCTTCTGAGCTACATACTCCTCAGCCCGCCCACAGAAACTGTGATTCCGACAGGCACAAAGTCCCAATGAGTCACCGGTAGGTTTCTGGATCAAATGCGGATCAATGAGAAACGTGGATGCTTCAACTCACGACCATGAACCCGGAGCCTGCATCTCCTCCGGTATGGCTTTTGTGTGTGGGTACGGGAGACCAGCGGCATACGCGAAAGACTGCTTGAGCATACCTGTATACGCAGAAACGTGCGTGAGCATAACCATTTACGTAGACATGCGCTCAAGCAGACCAGCATAGGCAAGAATACGCTGAAGCGGACCCGCATGCGCAGAAAGAGAATCCGCGTATGCAGGAGCCTGCCGAGGCAGGTTCGCTATCGCGTAAAGTACGAAAGCGGTTTGGGGTAACAGCGTAACTGGTGCTGTGGAAGGACCTACTTCCCAACCAATCCTGACATGATTCATTAGTGTATTCACTTTGCAGAAGCACTGCAGAGGCAGGAGCACAGCACTTCAAGAATGTCCTCGTCTGACACAGCGTACTAGAACGATACAGGCACGGCAATTTCAAGGTTCAAGATGAGGAGAAGAGGATGACTTGACGGAAATGACACCAGTAGCAGTGATACTGTACAGTAGGATTGCAGCATTTCGGCGTGTCGGCAATCTTAAATCCTTCTTCATGGCCATCTATGGTTAGACAGTTTTCTGACTGCGAGAATAGAGACTGCAAATGTAGCGAATGCAAGCACTCAATATCCACAGAAGCTTCGAGAAGAAGCTTGTGGGCTTAAAGTGCCAAAAATAGTGGGCAAGCTCATCCTCGGCACGCGACGCTGCAGACCAACTAACGAGCCAAGTCAGCCGAAAATAAATCATGGCTATCTATTTTCGGCTTCCCCTGTCCAGGGTGTGGCCCATTGGTCAAGACTTGCACCGTCATAGGGCCATCCGGTGGAAAATGGCGACAGTGACGGCCATTTTGGGCCCAACACCCAAAATGCTGACATTGTTGCTCTCCACGTTCTGTCCTGAAAGTATTTAAGCGTAGACTGTCAAGCGACAGCCGCTCTAGCGGTAGCGATGCTCCGGGAGCCGAACATGGCATCTCAAAGTCAGAGTATCGCCAAGAAGCGAGATAGGTCTGGTGAGAACTTTACCAAGGCAACGAAGAACCTACTAGCACGATGCGACCGAATCAGGGAGCAATATGGCGCCGACGTATACATTCAAGTCCGTAGGATGCACAAACACTATACGTACACTTCATCTAACGAGCCGTCCTGGCCTAAGACAAAGGCGGAGATGGTGAGTACTGCTGTAGAGCAACCGTCTAATATTGACATTTCAAAGGAAAGGATGTACCCCATTCCCATAACAAGAACTCCCCAAGACTTTGCTGGTAAACGAAGTCGCGCATCGGTCGTCCATACACCACAGGGAACCACAGCAAAAGGAAATGACGTCTCATGTTGCGGTGGGGAGAGATCGTCAGATGTAGATCGACGTAACGTTCTGGCTCTGACAGCATGCGCTGCGTGGAAGGGAATGACAGCTCAAAAGAAGTAGATATGGTAAAACTAGATACAGTTGCCAAATGAAAGATCTCCAAAATCAATCGGCGCCCCCATCCCAAATGATCGTTCAAAGGCTACACATGTGACTGCTGGGTTGAGCGATCTGGATTGCAGTAGCGCTGTTGAGCCCCCATAGACATCACACTTGGCAACCCCTTTCTGGCCGTACGTTCCCGGATGATGGGAGTGCGCTCAAAGGACACGATCATAATCCTCTGAACAAGGGCAATGAGTTGTTGCTCACGTTTTAGATGTTCGTCTTGCATTTCGCCGTATAGTTAGTACTAACTTGTATTGATGGCTTATGTCCTGATACTCTAGTTCGCATCTCGTGCCGAACGTCGAGTTTTGATGAATGATTTCAGAACAGTCATCTTAGGAGGTTTAGAGCTATCTAGATATCGAAGTCCTGGTATCATTCTACTCCGTGCCTAATGCGGTCACCATACAAGCACTCAGCCGTCAAGGCTGGGAAGCAAACATTCAAAGGCCAGGTCGAGCTGGTTGGCATCCTGTCTCGTATCGGAGCACTCCATCCCGATGGAAGTACTATGTAAAGAAGCTCAAGGGGCGAATGTCAGTAGATATCTAAGGGTAACCGCGGTGCCAAAAGCCGAGAGCCAAGCTGTATCATTGAAAAGTTAGCTCAGTCACTCTCCAGCTCCTTTCACACACGTCCTAGGCCTGCTCGCAAACCGCCTTCCGTACGCCAAAAAACCCATGCGTACCTGACCATTGCTACTCCACGCTCCATCGTAGACAGTATTGAGCCGACAATTGTATACCACCCTGGAGGGTGCAGTATCCGCCTGGCTGATGGGCCACTGGTTTCAACCGCTCGTGTCTTCTGAGATCACCGTTCCGGCGAGTTCGTAAACACATGTGTATCGTTATCGGTGTCTGTTGACTCAGCCTTGGTACTCTTAGACGCAGACTTCGGTCGCTCTGGTTCAGATTTAGGTGGCTGGGACACGCGCGCCGGCTTGGGAGACCACTGTATTCGTGCCCGTTGCGAGGAAGGCGTTGAACGTGTGCCCCATCCGACACGTGCATTGGTTAAGCCTTCAGAGGAAACACTCTTCGGGCGTTCGGGATCGTAAAAGTATGGCTCTTCCTTGGCAGTGATACGTAATTCGAGTCTTTGTCGGCGTGGACCAGGAATAGGTCCATCTTCAGGCCAGGATATTTGGGAGCGTTTGATGGGTTTCGATGGCGCTCGTGATGCCATTTGCAGAGCTCTCTCCTTGAACTTGGTAATTTTATCTTCATTCAGGCCGAGTATGTCTTCCAACTTCTCTACGACGAGGTCAGGGTGTTCGAGAACGATTTCGTCGTCGTCACTATCGTCGCTATTGCTTTCCTCTTCAGGCAAATGACCAGCACTTCTAAGTTGGACGTCGTAGAAGACGGCAAGGTAGGCCAGCATGGACCGGTGCCGATCAGTTTGCGGGTCCCTCAAGGAGTAAAAATCGTCCGCGTTTCGAGGAAATCGTGAGGGTTCCGGCTCGAGAATGCCATGTCCGGGGCGATACACAACAACAGGTCTGATGGGGAGGGTTGGATTCTTCAATCCTTTATTGCGCATATAGGCTTGGGACTGGCGAATCTCGGCTTCGAGGCGTTGGGTCTGGTCTTCGAGACGCCCAAGACGCTGATTCTGGGTTGTTACATCGTCTCTAAGGGTCGTGACGTTGTCTCTGAGCTCCTTGATGTCGGCTTTCAACTCCCGCTTGACGTTGTCGACGGAGCATTGGATGGAAGCGAGTTCAGCATTCAGATGCTTGTCCTCGGAGTTTCGCAATTCTATGTATTCGTCGTGGGAGAGGTACTGTGACCGGTATTCGTCGGGAGAGGGAGAGCGAACAGGCGACGCTGCCATGGTAACGGTGGTGAGAGTAGTGGTAAAATGACCATCTGCGACGGTTAGGACGGTCTGGTTGTAGCGCTATGGTATGGCTTTGTCAGGACATGGCTTTGTCAGGACATGCCTCGACAGGCGCTCATGTTGGGAGGAGGTGGGCTGTTAAGTACCCATCAGGGGAGTTGTGGGGTGGATGTCAGGCTTTCATTGGCTGTCTTCTCCTCAGCCAAGCAGAAGACATCTAGAGTTGGGCAGCGCTTCGCACAGACCGCGACTGCCTGGAACCAAGAGTTTTTGCCCAAGGCCTGTGTAGTAACATTACAGACATTTGTGTGTGGTTTGCGAAGGCCACGATGCAGCATTATTGCATTGCACCCATCCCACCCCTCACTTTCCTGGTCACAGTCCTTAAGCGGCGATGTTTCGCAATACCGGGGCAGCGTCTGCGCTGCAGTCGGGAATTACGCTCTTAGGAGACCTTGGTTCGTGTCAGAACGCTAACCTGGGGTGACTGCCTGGCCATGATGCAGTGTGATAGTCTAATCTGCCTTGTGAGTCACTGGTCACGATTCAAAACGCAGATACATTTCCGTGCCGAGCAGAGGGGCCCAGACTTGTATTCCTCCAAGTTACAGTACACAACAGGCTTCTGGTAGATGTCTACATAAGCAACTAAACAAAAAGTGCATGACAATATGCAGGGACATGAATGACGTTCAGAGCAGCACCGACCGAGATGGCTCCTGAAGGTACATATGCCGGATCTGGGACCTGTGTCCGTACGAGGTGAGGGCCAAGTTGACGCCTACGCCGGAAGGGCGCTTCAACGCGTTGCACTCACTAGCGACGCCACCTCCGAGCGCTCACTGCAATTCACTGCTCAGGAACCATGTGCAGTAGCGAGAACAAAATTTGAACAAGCAACTTGCAGAATGATCATTGTATGTAGACAATACATAGATCGAAGTGGGTGTCGCGCTTGATCCTCAGGTATTCGGCTTTCAGTGAGCTGGCCTTGCTGGCTTGACACCTGGGAGCGGAGTCCCGGTTGGCCATGTAGCCAGCTCATGTGATAGTGACCCGGCTAAGCCCAGGATCCTCGATCTAACATATGCAACAAAGCCCGCAAAAGGGATTGCGGTCCAGTGACGCGAACTTTGATCGCGGTTCCGAACCCGGACCGTGGATGCTTGGGTACACGATGGCTAGCAAGGTACCAGACTCTTGGGAATATTCCCGCCAAATTTATACAAATGCACCGCTGGGCTCCATCCATGAGCCACTGTAGCGAATTGCAGATCCGCATCAGCCACTTTAAGCGGGGCGCATTTCGTGATTCATGATGAGGCAAGCCTACGGCAAGAAATGTTACCTTTCCTCACGTCGCTGTGGCCGGAATAATCAAAGGCTAGCTATAATACGCGAATCATACGGCAGACGCCTGGTCTGAACCACAGACTTCTATTCGCTTCGATCGCGTTCTTCAATTTTACGTTGCATACAACTCATGCTCTAAGGTGTTTGCTCAGCTTGCTTCAGTCCATGGCTAGTTTGGTGCGTGGCAGAGGCCAATCACCAGCAAGGGATTGTATCGATAGTGACGAGCATATGTTACTTCCTCTTTGCAACACAATCCATCCTTCTGAACTTGACCCCACGTAAGCTAGACCTGGAGTTGATCTCACTGTGTACAGTTCACCACGCTTGGCAGTGGGTAATGGCCGTTGTTGAAGCCAAACATGGATACTTTCGAGTAGATTTCAATGAAGTGCCCCAACTCGTACTACCAGACACCATCCTAACCCCACATTTCATTTGCAAACAAGCTGCCACTGCCAGAGGTTTGCTGAGGCCCATCACAGCAGTGTTGAACTGCTCAAACGTTGAAAATGTTTGCAAAAGAGAAAGCGATATATGCGAAATACTGTAATGGCGTGCCATTACGATTGATGACTCCAGATTAGTAGGTCGAGTATTTAGAGTCGCTCCGTGCTACTGTACCTGCCATTGAGATAGCCACTTCGCTTCCTCCAAGATGTCCGCTCCTGTGGACTTGGCGCAGGAGGTAAAGTCTTTGTTTCATAGCGACCGCCCAGCATACATACTAACAACGAAAAAGTTACACAGCTTCTGCCATCGTCTAGATTGCGATTTCGAGGCCGTCAGCTCCTTCCTCGATCAAGATGTTTCATTTCGAGAGAAGTTCACAGTCGTGATTTCGAGGTATCCCATCGAGTGCGGATTAACGTCAAAAACGCCAAGGGCGGGGTAGAGCCAATGAGGTCTCGCGATGCTATCGGGGTCAACCAATGAATAACTAGGATTTTCAGTACCTTTACTCCCTATTGATTTTGGGTATGCCAGAGGTACCAGCAATCTCTCCTGGTACATAAAGCTACGTCGCAATCTAAGCAGCCTTTCCGAGTGAACCTACGTTGCCGCTTGAGGCTATTCCCAGTTATATCGCTAAGAGCCTGGCGAGATTTTAGTGCTGCCGTATTACTACAATAGGAACACGGCGAACAAGCCTTCCTAGATCCCTGACGATGCTGTTGCCAGGGAATAGAAGTATTCTTCTTATCTGAAGCCCGCTGAGACCGTGAATATTTTCGACCTCCTGCTAATGGTCCAAACTGCTGAATAAGCTGGGATGCAAGAAGTTGCCGCCATTGGTACTGGGTCTTAACCTTTTGCCACTCAGGCTTTCCCCAGAACTGTAGAAAGAAGCTGTTCACAATGATTACTTCTAGTAGGAAGTTCCAAGCAAGTGCCTGCCAGCCTCCTCGACGAATGGGGTGACTATATTGATAGTAGGACCTCATCTGGTCACTAATATCAACCCCATTCATCTTATGGTTATATTCATCAACTGCCTTGGGTACTGGGAGGTTCTTGCGGACGTCTGGGCCAAAGACTTGCCGGGCAGCCCGTTTGCTCGCAGAGTTTCCGGCCGACCGGCACCGGAGACGGGTAACCTCCTGGCCGTCTCGGAAGACAGTTGTCATGAACAGGACAAGAGCATTATCCTTCCAGGTGAATTGGTTAATCTGAAATAGATAGTTGGTTAGTACAGAGATTTCTATAGAAAGTAGTTTGTAATATCATACCTCCCCATCTAAGGTAGGGATACAATGGGTCTGCCCCCAAGAAATACCTTGACCTTCTGCTTCCTTCTCGGTGACAAGGATCTTATCTATCCCACTGTCTTTCCGGCAGGTTCCAGAAGCCCCGACTTGCTGCTTCCGGAGGGCCCGAAGGAGCCGTATAGACGCAAAGAGATTATCTAAAAACACGTGGTAAACTGCAACTGGAAGCAAGGTAATAAGTGTTGTTACAACCCGCTGCGTTGGCGTTAATGGAACTGTGGTAGCTACTCCAGCCTGACTATCTGCTGGCCGAGCTTGAGGGACTAGTCCGTACGGGCCCTTGCCGTGTACATGCCAGAGCCACCGTAGACAGTAGCCTGATTGGGCAAGAATCCAGACCTTGAAGCCAGTTGGGGTCGGCTTTGTTGGTATTGTTGTCGTCTCTAAGGATCGGCCTGTGAACCGGACCATAGCCTCGTCAACAGTAAGGTCAGAGCCGGCTATGTAGAAGGAATCTCCAGTCTCTTGGATATGGGCTGACCAATCGTTGACTTTCCGGTATATATCCGGCATCCCAGCTTGGGCCTGGTGTTGACCCGAGTGGCTAGGCTGGAAATCAGAGGTATTAAAGATGCGTAGCTGCCGGAGTAGACTTTGGAAGCGGTCCCGGGAGATAAACCGGGTGAATGGATGGATGGGATCCTCCTTTTGCTGTTGAGTTGACCAGTATCTTGATATTTGAGACTCATTGTGAATCCCCATATAAAGTAGGATACCTAAGAAGAGGTAAATCTCTTCTACAGAGGTCTTTCTCCACTCATACACTCTTGACCGTCTAGCCCGGGGGCCTTGCTTGGATAACGGCGCCGTATTCGTCCATTGCGCCCACTGCTCAACAAGGTCCCGGGGGACATACTGAAGGAATAGTTCAAGCGGGGCTGCCGGTAGGTCCCGTATCCCTCGGTCCCGGGCCGGTACATCAAAGGGTCTGAAGGTGCCCGGTCGCCCGCGTTCAACGGCGGGGGGTTCGTGGGGCCGGACTGTGCTGTTATCGCACCTCTCCGGCGTACAGTCGGCAGTGCAAACGACGGCGAGGTCTTCAGGAAGGAGCTCAACCACAATACAGCTCTGTACGGAAGCTCCAGAAGCCCTGGAGGCATCGGAATCGCTAGAAGACATCGCGGCATTGAACAAAATCCTGATTGTGGTGGTGACAATAGGGAAGGAAACATAGGTGCACCTGATGTTTCGTCGTGTACTCATTGAAGTGCGGAGTAAAAGCGGGTACAATAGTGGGTTTCTCTGGTCTTGGCGTTTTTGACGTTAATCCGTACTCGATGGGATATGTACCAGCCCCGGGCCACATTAAGTGTCGAGACCACCCTTGAACCGACACAAGCCGCCCCTGCCATATCTCCCTGTAGATGCGATGGTGAGGCAGGCTCTGGATCAGATGGATATGTACCTAGCCGCTCGCCAGCTGCTTCCGTCGAAGCTAATCTACGAGCTTTGGGAGGCACGTTGCCAACGAGCAAATCCATAGAGGCTGATGGCGCTGCTACCTCCATTAAGCGTAGGAAGGACAGGAGAGCTGGACGCATCTCACCGATCATCGCCAAGGTGGAGAATATCGGTAGCCCAGAGACTCTCGTACGCCTATGGGACAGCTGCAGGGCATCGAGGGCTCGAGATCAGAGTATCGTTAGTGGGACGCGACAGATCCTACCTGTCGAACCGGAAGGTGACTTGGATGGCCCGTCTGTGCTGGAACGACTTGAATCCCTCAAAGAGCAGGCGGCTGCAACGAGTTCAAGCATTCACTTTTCCATTGCTGTCAAGCGCTATCACCATACTCAGATGGTCCATTTATACAACAGGGCGAGAGACCTTGACGAGACGACGATTGAGGTGGCAGATCCAGGCAGCGCCTCCCAGTCGCTGGTTGACCAATTTGCCGAGAGGCTCTTCCCCAGCGCCTCAGCAGCAGAAAAGCAGGCTGGTCAGGGGCCGAAACTCAAGAGGAAGCCGCTTAAGAGCGCTTTCAACAGGTGGCTGACCCTCGGGAATAAGCTGGCCACACTAGTTGCCAGGTACGGATACGGGATCCTTCTCCTCCTACCGGGCGATTTGAGGAATGGAGAGTTAGTGCGCAGTACCGTCTGCTTGATTAGGTACTAACTTCGTTAGCATTCGATGACTTCGTGATGGTGATCTCCTCGCGGTGCTGAACCGGTTAGATACGCATGTCCGACTGAAAGACAGCATCCAAGCCCTCACAGCAGTGCTTCTCAGTCTGGTCACATGGGGTATCCTGCCCGTGGCGAGAATTGGCTTGAAACGTATACATCTGCGTCGCAGGTTCGAAAACTGGCTTCCGAGCCCATGTTTCTGGGGGGCCTGTTGTCTTGGTGTGCTGGCGCAGAATCCGACCTGGACCTGTTGACGCAGCCCGCTCGCCATTCGGCGACTGAACAGCGCGACAGCACGGCCGATGCGGACAGCCTTCCATTCGACGCCGACGACTGATATTCGTGTAGCATTATCCGATATAGGAAACATTGCAAAGAGACAAGTTATCGTAATAGAGAGAGCCGCCAACATGAATCCAGAAACCCCTGTCAACTGGAACTCCTGAGGATTGTCAAAGCAAGACAAGACGGAAGCTCTGGGACAGCCACAGGAGGCATCTACATGGACTACCTGCGAGAGAACATATAGGCAAGCTCTGGGAGACGCCGATCTTGTCCTTGTTGCCGAAAAGAGAGGAATGTCTGGCGACGTCGTAGATATCCGCCACTTTCCGCGATTATCTGCGCAGCAGACAAAGATGCTCCAGTCGATTCAGCACCCGAACATCGTCACGGTTCATAAAATTTGTAGCGACAAGGCAAATCGCCACGTCGCCGACGGACGCATGCCACGATCGTTGCAAGTGGCCGTCGGTAAAACGTATCTCAATCGTCAACGCCTAGCAGCGATTTTATGGAAGGTCCGTCCGATCCTCCCTTGACAGCCCATTTTGTCTCGCAGGTAACCATGTAGTCGGGGCGCTGGTTTATCTCGAGAGAATGAGACTGCAGCACGGCCTTCTTAGCTGCTCGTGTATCCTGATTCACCCTAGCGGTAGGGTCAAGCTGAGTACTCGTCCATTGGCGAATTTGGCGCTGATCGGAATGTCCAGGCGGCCAGGAAGATTGTCGACCGCGCAGCCGTAGGAAAGACTTGGACGACCTAGGCTTCACGATGATGAAGCTAATGCAAGGACCTATGAAGGAGGACGCCAACTTTGGGTTGAACGATCCGAAGCACTGGGACTCGGAAGTCGTTCACTTCCTCTCGGCGACAACTGCTGCATCATCTGCGGCCGAGTCGAGCGAGGTTGGCCTACCCCAATGCATTGTGAAACCAGCCACTGATGTGTCTCTAGCATCCTTTCCTGCATTCGTGGCGGAAAAGTTGAAAGGACTGGTTTCTTTGGTCATGACATGGACTCGGCAAGACTATGAATATCTCGGGTGGCTGAAAAGAAGTTAGCGCAAAGCAGTACATAGAGTGTCTCTCGCTTGGCCCGTTTCCTGACTGCTGCATCGATTGAGGATAGCCGACGAATGTGATCCAGAACTGCCACTGTGAACACTGTTTTTGAGAAGTGCTGAGCCCTGACAGCAGCGATTGGCACGTGACTTCTTCTATCCAAGTCATAATGTTCAGGCCGAGAGCCTGCCCAAGCGGACTCCTGCGTGTGCAGCTTTGCTTGCGCAATACTGCGCAAGCAGCTTTGCTTAGGCGGCATTTCTGCGTGGGCAGGCATGCCGAAGCAGTCTTCTGCGTGTGCAGCTAGCACGCTGACAAATTCATCAGAGTCATACCTGTTCGAGTTGAAGACAACCGCAGCGCGAGCTCCCCATTCGACTCATATTTCGGGCAGAAATCCATCGCGGTGAAGGGTAGTGAGCAGCATCGGGATCATCGGGAAAGCGACCCGGCGCAGATTGTCTAGTTTCGGAGCCGTTCTACGGTGCGGAAAGGTGCGTCATGATCTCCCCAGGATGGGAAAGAACCCACGACGGGCCGCCGGAGGGGGGGAGGACCCACGTCAGCTACAAGGCCCATGATTGATGGCCATTTGAAAGCTTGCAGTCGAATTGGGCATTTGCGAGATCCGTGTTTACGCCATTGAACGCACTGACGCAGCATTAATGTTCACACAATAAAGGGGTGTTTCACTCGCTTATCATATACATTATATACAAAAGGTTTAGTGGTGAAAAGAGGAATATTATTGATTATCATAAAATAAATTATCTACTCAATAAAAGGCCTAAAGAAATAGAGAAAGTATCTATTTCTAATATAAAATTTATTTATTAAAATATTTTAGTGCTCATTGATTATAATATAATTGATGAAAATCCATAATCGATCTTGTAGTTATAGTATATAGGCTGTTAGCTAAATCTCGCTATCTGGGCATAGTTGCTGATATAAGAGCGGCTGCTAAGTGGGTAGATTAAAATCAATCAATTAGTCACGAGGCGCTGTAGTCGCTGTGTGCCCGCGAGGCAAACCCTGATCTTTGGTCATGCATGTTAGGTCAAAACATGGTTGCTTTTGGTGGATTGTTTGAGTGGTGGTGCAAATTGACCCCTGCATGGCAAAGAACCGGGAAATACATGAGGGAGCTGGATAAAATATGAATTTGAAGACAGCTGGCTAGCATTTTGCATTGGCGAATCAGGGTGCTACGGATCAACGTCCGGAGCGCGTCGACTGTCTGGTTACGTAGCCGTCAAGTTCGCAGCGGACTCGCTACTGTCAAAAAAGGCATCGCCCTCGTCACAAAAATCAAGAAAACGGAGCGCAGGTACAAAGGTTGTTATACTGCGGAGCTAATCGACTAGCACACTAACCTGATTCAGAATTTTTGCAAGGAATTTGGGGTTTTTGTAGCAGCGACCTCTGTGGCCTGCCATAGCACAGCGTTCGCCTTCGCGACACCATTTGTCAGTGCATCACCTTGTTTTCCACTTGGTAAAGTCCAGTTTTGGGTTCTCCCAAAAGCGATTCAATTCCTTCTCTGTGTGTCGGTAACCTCCAGGACACTTCTGCGACCGAAGTCTGGCAGGTGCATGAGTCCTCCCCTGGCGAAATTGTGACTGTGCCCGCGCCCAACCTTCCTTGTGATCGGTGATGTTGCTGCGACGTGCGATCCCTTGGGCTTCTGTGCGCTTATCTTCGGACCCAGTATCGCGTTAGATTGGGCATTGGGCCCCGTTCATGGTTGTGCAACTGCGCTTATCATCCCTAGATCCGCTCGACGAGAATTGACCTGCTCCCCGGCACATCAGGAGGAAGCACGTATCAATGTCCGACTACTAGTGTCTCCCCCGAGTCGTGATGAGACGGCGGGACGTGCCGCTAATAACCCAAATCTCTTTGCTGTTGGGTATGAAACCGCCATTCCAATGCGTTGGCTTGGATGAGCTATAGCTGAAACCCCTGTACAGAGATCCCTGTCGCGACCTCGGATCGGGGATCTTCTGCAATAGGAGGATGCTACGCTGGAGATCGCCTCCGTGGCCCCTTGCTCGGATATGCATGATATTACTTTGCGCCCGACATGGACTAATGTATGAGTCTTGGCACCTGCATCATGGCGTGCCTACGTCCTTTGATGCAACAATCGGGCTTTGCACCGTGGTGATCGCAAAATGGTCTACTGCGTAGAATGGGCCGGAACCGCTGAAGGGATGCAGGAATAAGAAGAAAGCCTAAGGAAGGGGGGCTTCTGAGGGTATGTCGGTAGTAGCATTCCGCTAATCTCCTCAACAGAACGATACCAGATGAATGTAGGCGAGAATTTCGCCCATCGATGTGGCGATCCTCAAAAGGTCCATTCTACCCCGGAACCTGGGCTCGACTGACACCGGCTGGGTGACATCAGCCCCGCGATTCACATCCAGCTGTCTCTGTCAATCTTGAACCTTGAAATGTGCCAGTAGACATTGAAAAACCAATGAAAAGGTCTAAAAGTCTAATCACATCACAGAACTCGAATTGCCACAGGGCGCGAGACACGCGTAGGGGCCATCACTCTTTTCTCAGGTGAGGGGCCTTATGAGCGCCGCTTAATCATATCGCCTATGATCTTCCAATTCGTACCTACACTCTTGGCCTCGCATAACATGAGAATCGTCATTTACGGTTAACAGATCAGCGGTTGCGTTGCGTGATTTCTTTTTTTTCTCTTGGCTATGCTCCATAAACGGATTCCGCCGTAATGCTAAAAATCGTGGGATTCCACACGGAAATGAGACACAGCGATAGGTCAAGTGGTCCGGATACCCTTGGTCTACCTAACTTGGTGGGGCATCCGTGTGTGCCTCATTCTGCATCCGGTTATCGGTAGAGAGCAGGGCATGTGTTAGTTAGCGCGCGACGTAACCCAAAGTCAGCACGACGGGGCAGTCAGCTCGGAAGTACGCAACAAAGGCGATGAGACGCCGACGTAAGCTCTGATTTTGCGGTGACTAAATGCTGTACATAGGCTCTATGGTCTGAAACTCCAATAAAGGCCCCCGAGGCCAATTTTGTTAGCGTAGGAAAGGTTGAATAGGGCAACAACTCGCCTATCATGGGAACTATAGCCGCGAATGTTGCCATCGGCCATGCCCTACGTTCACCATCGAGCATGTTAGAGTTGAGAGCACAGCACCCTCACGCCACTGCGGGGTATAAAGACCAGGCTACACCGTAAGGGTCTGAGGTGACACAATCAGTATGCGCTAACGGTCTAGGCACGCTAGAGCGGTCTTCGAGGGGTTCTCTGCTGACCCGTTGGTTCGGTGTGGCACTGGAATGTTGAGCTCCTGGTGGGATTAACCGATCACACGCAGTTGCGCAGTTCTTGGTCTCTTTGAATGAGGTAGCTTTTATGGCGCCTGCACAAGCGTCTCATCCAGCTTCAGATCAGGCTTTACTTTCTTGGTCCGAATGCTCTTCAGAGCCGGGGTTCCGGCACGGGGTCTGTGCAGCCCCCAGATTGTCGAGGCTTTACCGGCCTTGACGCTGGCCATTAGGCACTGGACCAGATCATGAACGATCAAATGAAGTATGCACTGCTACTCAGAATGTCAGCAAATCCCATTTCCACGATTGCATGTACCCAAGTTCACAGAGTCACGGCCGCATCAGGATATCATTCGCATAGCTACCAGCATCATACGAGACCGGCATGGCAATGGAAGCAGGGAAATGCATGTCCGTTGTCTGTAAGACTCAAGCACGAGATTGACATGCCGACGTCGACCTCGCCAATAGGCCCACGCGGATGACAAGGTGTCTGCAGTGGAACCAAGGAGTTAGGTCCGATTGGCTGTCAATTGTCAATCAGCCCCTCACACGGCCAACGCGATTGCGCCCACTTGCCATAACCCAGGGCGATGGTTGGCACATCCCTAAGAGCCAACGCCCACCTGTGAAGAAATCCCACCGATGTTGGCAAGTAATCCCGATCGTGTGCGCTTCTACCATGTGTGCGCCAACTGGTGTTAAAAGATGTGTGACTTTCACATCCTGTGTCCTCCTATCGCCTTGTCGCCCTGTGTTACAACGCGGCACCGTTGCAGTGCAGATATTCCTAGAGATCCCCAAAGCAGTATCTCACCCAGACATTTGCCTGTGATAAAAAGTGACGTGTGATAAAAAGTGACGACGGCAGTTCGGGTAGTGTAGTCGATGGTTTGCGGTGTAAGAAGGGATGACACGGATTCAAGCGTGGCTGTCGGCTTTTGCTCTTCAAAGTACTGGTTCTGGACTGGCTGTATCTTTATCGCCAAGCTACTCTAGAAAGATATTCTTGTTATAGTAGTGATTCCATGTGAGCCGTCTGGGCCATGTCTAGCGAAGCCCATCCTCTGGTCAATTCAATGCGGGAACAAGTGGACTCCCGGGACAGGTGTCCGTATAGCACGCCAGCCCTGCGTGTTCCTAATCAGTTCCTTTTAGAAGTACCCACCAAGAGAACGAGATCAAGTTTTTGGTGAGGTAATTGGGCATAGGGGGGATTATATGTCGAGACCTTAGGTATTTGTGTCTGTCGCTTCTCAAAGTCTTGCTAATACTGCAAACAAGCCCTGGACAACTGCCCTTACTTGGTAGTAGCAGGGGGTTGAACATAGTGGTACGATTGTAAAGCAACTGTACTGTAGCCATCCCTGCCGTAAATCACAAGTCTCATTGCGACTCATCAGGCTCCAATCAAGACAACTCTATCAAGACAACTTGGCAGGTCAACCTCTCGAAATTTTACGACGAAGCTGTCGGGCTGTATGCAAGCCACGGCGTCCTGTCTGCCGTGTAGACAGTATGCAATGCGGCACGGACCTCTGACTGTCGGAATGGTGTGTACAATGCCTCCTGGACGAAGACATGAGTCTTCTCCCCTCCATCTCGCGGAGCTCCTCGAACGCCGCCTTCTCAGTCTCAGAGGATGGCAGTACCAGGCCAATCGCTTTGAATTCTATAGTCGCAGCGCTTCCCCCCTCATCTCGGCTGTAAGCTGGCCGTTTTATTGAGAGCCGGCTCAAATAGTCTACAACCCCATCGCTCGACACCACATTGTGAACTTGACAACCATCCGCTTGTCTGTTGACCCTTTTAGCGCTGACACTAGGGTTGTATACCGTTCCAAGGTAGGGCCATGTCCGCACTTCCCGGACCCAGGAGCCATCGCTTTCATCAGTACTTTTCTACGACACTGACGTGGCTAACAAACCGTGGTTTAGTAGGGTTGTTAGACTCGAAGCGAGTGGGGTCGCTGGAGCAGAGATTCACTTGCAATAAGCTCACGACGTCGAATCAGCCAACGTACGCGCCAAGCTTTTCAAGGATCGACGGTTAAGAATCGCAAATTCTCATACTTTGACCTTCCCCCATTCTGATCAGATCTCGGTCAGCTGACAGGGCACTCGACAAGTGCAACCCAGCTGGTAAGGACGGCCGGCCTACGTATCACAAAATAGCGATGGCAACTGCGCCGCAAGGTCACGGGGCCATGACCGTCGATCCCATATTACGACAACAGTACCTATCCACCGTCGATGATTGTTACCCCTATCAGTATTGGCCGGACCCGAAATACTACAACACCTCTTCGGCGGAGCTGTTGGTCTCTCCAGGCGGCTCTCTCGCCTCAGTGGGCTCGGAGAACTGGATTTCAGACTTCCACGGCCATTACCCATGGAACGCAGTTGCCGTCGCGCCGAGCTACGTTACCTCAGAGTATGCACAACAGTCCAACAATTGGGCCTCATATCCGCGGCCAGATATACAACCCGGTGAGCCCGCAGCATTCGAACTACCCCAACAATGGCTTCAACCCATGGGGACACCTTGCACGACTCCAGGATGGCAGCAACTCCCGGAAAGCCAACTTCCCTCTAAACAAACACCCAGACGAAGGTCAGCCTCAGATAAGACGCAATTTGTGACGAACGAGCCAACCGATCGAAGGTCCTCCGCTGGTCAGACCTTGGAGCAGGCTGTAAAGAAGACCAGTACGAACAGCGGAAGTAATAATGTTCCAACAGTGAAAAATACTGGGCAAGGGAACGATGCATTTCCGGGCGAGGGTGCCAGCGATGCCAAGCCATATCAAAAGACTCCATACCGCGTCAAGAACCGAGCTGCCGCCAAACGAAGCCGAGAGAAGACGAAACAATCCGAGATCAACCTTACTGCAAAAGAGAGACAGCTTTCACAAGACCGACTTCATCTCTATGCTTGTATCACGACACTCAGAAACGAAGTGCTCTCGCTAAGGACTCAGATTCTCGAGCACGGCGGTTGCAATTGCGAGATGATTCAGGGTTACATCACAAGGACGGCCAACGATGTCAGTGTTGGGGGAAAACCCTCTCTCTCCTACAACAGAGAGCCCGAGGGAGTTTGGGACATGAGTCATGCTTCTCTTTTAGTTACGGAGCAACAGGCTCCTGAGAGGTTCACGGGCACTCGGACCAAGGCCTGCCCCGCAGGCTTGCGGCGGCTGCGGCACACCATGATTGATTGATCGATTGTTGTTGTCTGAAATATGTTAACGCCTACTCGGTTTTGGCCGGTTTAGTCAGCAGCCATCCTCGGATAGCGGGGGTTAACCAATAGCCGACGCGCTCCGGGTCTTACTCCGTTGCGTCCCACTTCGCCAGATTTCCCACTTTGCTCTCCAACCTCCATCTACATTTGGCTGGCTCCCTCATGTAGTTTGCATTTCTCTATTAACGTACATGTGTGTCTAGCCTCTATCCCACACCTCCGGATCACGTCTACTTGGTTTCCCCAGGTAGGGACTTCCAATGCCAGCAACGGATTGGATGGAACGCCCAGGGAGCCAAACCCGTACATAATGCACACGGAGCTTTCGACTTCGAATATGTTGCGCATCTAGATTTTGGTGCTCAGAGCCTGCAAGCTTCACACTTTGGAACTGGTATAACAAATGCATTTACTACTTGGACTTCTCAAGCGACTAGCTGGCCCGCGTTCGGAGACGGAAACTTACAACAACCGCTGCCGTCATTCGTGAACACGTATAGAAGCGAGGCTTGGTCTCCTACCAATGCGTAATTGCAATCAAGTACCCCGTCCTCGATCCAGTAAAGCATCGAGCCAGACAGAGACGAGAACCATACGAATGCCCCAACCACTTCAGCCCACCAACCAGGTCCCAAGAGAGTAAAGATTGGTGTTCGAGGCAGACTATCTACATCAAGCCTGAATTCTCGAGTCGATCGGACCACAACGATCGAAGACGATAGCGGGGACAAGGATAATGGGGATGGGCCAGTCGACCAGAGCAACAGCTGGGGCTCGGTGATGATCAAAGTGTACCGTGTCAATCGGACAGCGGCAAAACGATATAGAGAGAAGACGAAACAGTATGAGCAACACCTTGCGGCCAAGGAACACGAATTAGCTCAATAAGGGATATATCTCGATGCATGCCTGGTAGCGCTCCTGAACGAGGTGCCGACCCTTAAGAACCAAATACTTCGGCTTGGCGACTGCGACTGCGAGATGATGCGGCGGTATATCGCCGAAGTTGCGAGCAGCTTTAGCGTGGGAGTCTTACGGACGAGCATCGGAGCATACTCGTCAATTTGAATGACAGCAAAACCAGTGATGGCCTCGTCCTTCGCAGGCTGCTGGCGGTCCTTTCAATACATGACAGGAATGGTCTTTTGATCAAGCATAACTAGGGCCAGACGCCACCGATAAACGGAAGGGTGATGATCCAGTTATGTTTGGTTTGCCTGCTTTCTGGCATTGGTCACTCTCCTCCAGCTGGCTTGCATGACAGTCACGTATTGTCATTTGACTTGTTGAGGAAGAGGGTGATGAGACATTTCAGTAACCATTGAAGAAAAAGAAAAAAAAAGAAAAAGAGAGAGAGAGAGAGAGAGGGAAACATGACCCAGTACAGGCCTTTGACTACCAAGCGACCATTTTGCAGAGCTCTTAGATGCATAGCGGGCGAAGCATGCCAGGAACGGAGGGGAAATGTCCCCTACGAGACAGACCACGTTGTTTTCCCGAGCGTGGGCATGTCCGTGTCCACTTTTTGACTGGGCTTATCACGAGCCATAAGTACTGATGAAAAAGCTGATAGTGTCACTGAAGGGAATCCATAATCAGCTCTCAATCGCAAATACAACGCGAAGCGCTTGCAGTAGCTGCTGCTGTCGGTATCTCCTTTTCTTGCGAAATAGTATGGGGACGTCCGCGAGTACCTTCTTGGCAGATGGGTCCATCATTGTCTCTTGGCCTGACGCACCAGGATAACGGTCTGGAACAATTTCGAAGTCGATTGTATCTACAAGGTTAAAGAAAGGGGCAGATGTGGAGGATTGAGCAGGAAAGGGAGACCCGGTGGTCAGCAAAGAGGCCAAGACACAAGGCCAGAAATGTACGTGTAGTCAGCTTCAGGTGCCTTGTGCTGCTTGCGCTGAAGCACGCATCTGCAGATTGTTAGCTGATCTTGACAGCCGGATTCCTCCTGCCAGGTCGACCGACATGAAGTACCAACCCACTGCAGGCCGGCATGTTATCTATGGGCCTGTTCCGGGGTATGCCAAGCTACACCCGATGCAACGAATCACGACATCAGCGACCAGAGGCTTCTGAGGCCCGCATAGGCTGCCAGGCTCGCACTGGGTGACAGAATAAATGGCGTGAGTTTTGGTGGCAGATGTAGGCGGCACAGGCCATTTTTCTGTGATCCGGGTGACTCGTTGGCCACCATTACAAGGCGGCCGCCGTTGCAAGGTTAGAGCTATTGAGCCTGGCCTTGGCGGGGTTCTCAAGCATTGATAAACGAGCGCTTCTACCAAAATATGCTAGAATGAAAGCCAGCGCTCTGGGACAGGCGTGCAGGGTGGAAACAGCAGTTGTACAAAAGATGGACAAGCGTCGAGGTGCAGCAACGGCGGAAGCTGGCTCTCCAATTACCACCGTACCTAGCGTGCCAATCTGCCCGACCTTCGGACCAACCAATAACGCGATCCACGGCAGCGAATTCCTCTTCCAACAACAGCGGGCGGGAATCGAGGCGACGTGCCCCCCTTCCGAAGGCGACAGCATGGCTGACTATGATCAGCTGGCCTGTGCGTTGATGTATTCGACCTTATCTCTGAGGAGAAGCAGCGTGAGAGTTGACGACAGGATGATTTGTTTGAGGACTTGTACAACGTTGGCCGAAACTCTTCGGTTGCCGCAACCCAGTCCGCACCGGAGGTCATCGGAGCCGGTGCAACGCCCACCACCTTGCGTCGACCCGCCCGGGCCCCTTCTCTGAACCCGTTTCGAACCCGACATTCCCGGACAATGGGAATGTGCTTGAGGGACACGATTGTGGTCCTCGAGTAGGGGCATTGAGTTGTGGCCCACAGTTTGGATAACCATCATGAAATCCGCCGCGTATCTGACGCTAGACCTATGGTTTTGGCTCGCGTCCCGACACTCTGATTCGCATCTCGTCCCGAACGTCAACTTTTGATGAATTGTCACACGGCAGCCATCGCGCGATGTTAAAAGCCATCTAAATGTTAAATTCATGGTATCGTTCTTGTCGCCGACTGATGCGGCCACCATACACGCCCCCAGCCGCCAAGGCTAGAAAGCAACCATTTGAAAGCAAGGTCGAGCTGGTCAGCATCCTGTACTATTAACGGAAATTCCCTTCCCGATGGAAGTACAGAAGAAGATCATAGGGAAGTGAGCCTAGGCTCTTGATGGTTGTCTTGGCTTCATCATGATCTAACAGATCCTTATGCACGGCGAATGCCTCGAGAACAACGTCCCGGAAACCCTGATCAGTATCGATGGTGGAGGTGTAGGCCTCGGTAGTCGCATATAAAAAACCGTTCGGGTCCCAAGCTTGTGCAGCAGCAACCTTTAATTTGGCTACGGCGAGGTCCTTGAGACCATCAACGGCATATTCTTCTGCGATTGTATACACCTTGGCGTGTAGAAGGAGACAAGTTATGCTTTCAGCCTTGCTTGGCTCTAGCTCTGGCGATTGTAAAAGGCTGTCTGTGTAGAGCGATTGTCGGTAGTCCAGGAGGTAAAAATATTGCATCATCATATCGACGACGCATGGTTCGTCGTCTGGAAGGTGGATCGAGCCGTCGGAAGACTCCTGTATCGCCGCCTACATTAGTACCAGAGACTTTGCGCGCGAGAAAAGACATGCGAACTTTGAAAGGACTACGGCATGCAGCAGCCAGGAAGTTAGACCGTGGACAGACAATAGCGCGGTGGACGGGATAGGTTTTGGCAACGAAGGATATCGTCAGATCTGAGTAGATCCCGGTTGTGTAGAGCCTGGGATACTGTGAGCGTAAGGCTAATCAACAGGATGAATAGAAAGCGAGCTTCACCTCTCGAGAGATTCGACGAGGTCTTTCTGGGGCCGGCCGATGGAAGCCATCGCGGTTTGGGCCGGAACTGCCGCGGAGGCTGGAGCAGAGGCGGCCGCCGGTGATGTGGGTTCTTCGTCTAGGAAGAGCTCCCGGAAAGATCTGCAAGCATAGGAGGAATGCTCGAATATCCTATCCTTCTGAAGTGACCGTAATATGGTAATTAAGCGTTCGGTAGAAAAGCCGGGGACCCAAAGACCGCGTTCGCGGACGACGGACGCAATAGCCTTCCGCTGGCGCAGCCGACCGTGGTTAAGTCCAGAGAAGATAGCCTTGCAATCGGAGTCGCGGTAGACACTAATTCTTTCGGATCGGGAGGGCTCTGCGTACACACTGCGATCCTTACGCCGCATGTTGGCCGTAAGGACTCTCCAATAACGCACAGCCGTTGCACAGGTGATAGGCCATGGTAATCGTCAGCTGACACTGCTAATAGACTGTCACCCATGCGATTGGGATGCATTTATCGGGCGGTGAGCTGAGGCAGAATTGATATGTCCTGGGCGGGGTAGAGCTTTTTGGGAGCAAGCACGGCCTCGTATATTGCTTGAGGGTAATCCAGACATAAACGTTATCTTCCTAGTTGCATCACCCCGCGTCTCAAAAATTCCGAGAAACACAATAATTGCCCTGCAAGACTTCGCCACGTTCAACAACGTCCACTATCTTTCTTCTGTTCTCCTCGAATCTAGCACATCATGTACCTACCCCTCGGTGTAGCGGCTCGGATCATTTGTAACCCCACTTCCGAATACGATGAGAAAGTTGTCTCTTTGGCGGCTGATGGCCTATCCATCAGTCCGATGTTGAGGGGACTGGCTTATGAAGGAAGCCTGGGTTCATGGCTTAAGCAGTACTGGGGCGCCTTGAGGGCTTGGCTGTCCCAGCCACGTAAGCGGCCGCTGCTCAGTTCCATCAGGAAAGCAAGCTTTGTTGGCTCCGCTAACAGAACTCTCCAGAGATCATCGTGGTAGTAATGACATGGGCGATTGTATTCACTGTCGTGAGCATTGCCATACTCGGCCTCGGATTTGGCCCAGCCGGAGTCGGCGCCGGTGAGTCGCTACGTCGATCCCTGCTGTTGACGTTCTTGGCCATCTCCAAGATAGCTAACTGCGTGGCGCAAGGAACTCTCGCTGCCGTTTTCCAGTCTTCTATGTATGGAGCTTTCACTCCTGCGGGAGGCCTATTCGCGACGCTGACAAGCATGGCCATGTTGGGAACATTGATGCCATGAGCTGCTGTCGTTTCTGGGGTTCTTGCGACATTGGCTGCAGGTATAGTGTGGGGATATGGTGTTGGAGGTGGTTAGTGCGCATACGAAGTGGATTGATTCCCCGTCTGGCACCAAATGAGGCTGCGGTGGAGATGCACGATTGTGCATTGGTCTATGTTCAAAAGCACGATTTACCAATTCAGGCCAGGCATATCCAAGCCTGTAGAAATCCCCGTGAACTGACCTGGGCCCGTTTCATTCGATCCGCATCTGGATTCATCCACTAAGCAGTACTGAGGAGGCAAGATCCATAAGTTGCTACAACCACGTGGTCGTGGACCGTTCTGACGATTTAGGCCAACCCCCCTGGGCTACACCCCGAACGGATGCAAAGATGCGGACGCCTAAGCCTCTCTGATACAACTGGGACGCCTTTCGGTCTTTCTGGCATCTTGTCCCCTGAGCCTTGTCCCATGTCTCGTTTGGTCTACATAACGGATGGTGCCTCAATTCCAGAATACCTAGAGATCGACAATTGAGAAAACAGGAGTCCACCTCAATTCCAGAATGCTTAAAGATCGAGAATTGAGAAAACAAGAGTCCACCTCAATTCCAGAATGCAGTCCTTCCAGAATCACGATGATTCCAGAAAGGAAGTACGCCATGGGTGTGCTGCGATTCTGGAATGCCAGTGATTCCAGAACGAGGGAATATCCCTGATGTACTGAGATTCTGGAATGGGGTGATTCTAGAATACCTGCAGCTTTGAGAAAACAGGAACACATCATGATTCTGGAATCAAGGTACATAACGTGAGAACCGTAATTCTGGAATGAAATGATTCTAGAATCGGGCTATGAAGTACGTACAAGGAAAATTGTGCAGATACAGGCATACGCGAAAGTATTGGAGTGTTTGCCCAGGTTAATCTGGAAGGAAGGGACAAGGCGGACGTACCGAAGCGGTGCCTGGCATGGTTACATGCAACTTGTGTCATCACTACACCCTGCTGACAACGGTATAGTCTGTTTCAGAGCTGCAGTCCCATCCAGGGTTATTCCAGAACCCGTAAACAAAATGTAGTCTTTGCAAATCCTAAATGCATTCTCGGAATACCAGATTCAGCAGCTTTCTTTCACACTGGAGGAATTTGAAAGGGGCGGCGGCTAATGAAACAGCCCCTGCGCCGTCGACCTCCGTGCAGCAACCCCGGCAAAGCTTTTGATTGGCTGCTCGCGGGTTGTCTTTCTGCCGCCCTGCGTCGAATTGTTTGGCTGCCTCAACGGGGACTGCCGTTGTCGAACGTCCTTCTAAGCCATACGATCTGGTGCCATCTGGTGGAGGACTCCAGCGAAGATTTAATTGGCTGGCCAGTCGAATCCGACACCAGTCTCCTTATCATGCGATGCTTAGCTAAGCTGACGGAGATTACGGTCGCTGATTTCGGTTTGGGGGGATTCCTCTACGTGACTGTGTCGCGACAGCTCCCTCTGATACAGCGCCCCCCACTACTTTGGCTTCGTCAACAGAGAAGCGCTCGTCCAACCCTTGGTCCGTTACTAGAGGCCGAAGACTGCGACCCTTTTGTAGGATGGCTGGCGGGCAGCTGCCATTGGTTAAGAAGTCTGCGCAAGTAGTGTCTTCTCAACGCGGGACCCATCGGCCATCGTTTTTGACGTTGAGGTGCCCGGCCCAGGTAGCGCTTAAGAGCGTAAGTGCAGAGAAAAGCGCAGCATGAGTCATCTACATAGGGTCCCAGCTAATTGATGTGAGTAAAAACACGATACATCAAAAACATAATGAACGAATCCTACTTCGTGCGATCTCTTCTCGAGTTGCGTCACAGCGCCACGAAGTTCCGAGACGTATTCATCGATCCTTTTGCTCCATCGAGAAAAAGCAACTGGATGCATCCCGAAGGCGTCGAATGCCTCCGTTTTCCAGTTGACGATTGCAAGAATCCAGTGATTTCTGTGGTGATCCGACAACTGATCTGCCGCATTGACGTTGATTGGCAGTACGATCCCGTCAAAACCCTTGGCGAACGCGAAAGCGCCCGAGGTTAAGAACGGCTCTGTGAACCTCACAAGCAATGGATCTATGATCTGAAGTGAAGAGGTACAACACACTAACTGAAGCATGGCAAGGAACACAACGTCGTCAACATACCGTCCTGGACAAAATTGACTAAGCCTTTCTCTGAATTGAGCTTGGTCTCGGCACGATAACCAACCGACGTGGGCATGCTCGACTGCCCGGTCAATCAATCTCACGATGCTCCTCGAAGAAGGCTTACCGTTGGGTCTTGGCTCGGTGGCGGAGTCAAGATTGCGATTGGAACTGACGTCTATCGTTGACGCGGTATCCAGGGCGGGGCCATACCTGGGGCTATGTTCTGTTGTTAAGTCAACGAAACACACGTCACGGGATGGCGGAATCAATCCGAGGAATCGCCTAGGCATCTCCACGATGTCGTGCGATGGACCGGGCAATCCGCGTTTCTCGGCACCCCTCCCTACTTCAAAAGATGGGATCGGGTCGGTTCGGCATTCTCTTCCAGCGGCACAATCATTTCGGGTCAAACTTGCGATGTTCTCTGCTGTCAGTGTCGAAATCAGAGGCACAACAGACGCTTCTTGCCTGCCAGTGACGGTAGAGGAAATAGGCGACAAGCGAACGGACAGAATGTCCGCTTCCACGGCGCCTGGCTTGCCAGTGTCGGGTCCTAAGGGGAATACTGGTATTGGTTAGGACAAATAGATCGGCCTAAAGCTTCAGAATCGGCCATGCTCACCGAGGCAACTGAGATGTCGCTCAATGGTTTCGTCAAGAAACTCGACTTCAGCCCTGACTCTGGACAGAGAGCAGAAGATCGCATCATCTAACGGTTGCTGCGAGTGATCTAGCAACGCCTTGACGCGCTTGAAAAGGAGAGGAATAGTAGTAAGGCTGTCTATCAAGTCATCGCATTCCTTCTTTGACGGCATGGCTGTGGCGGCTTCGCAGACTATGAGCATCTCTCACAGGAAGAGGCACGGATTCTTCGTCTATGAATGAGGGAGGGTCTGATGCTGTACCATGAGGCATTGGGTCAATATATAGAAACGCCGAATCCAGATGAAACCCTATGCCAACAATAGCCTTACGCCTCGTTTCCTCGCCTGACTTATCCCTCACGGCGCTTATGTCCGTCCAATGACAAAAGGTTCTGCGTGCTGGCTAAGCGCCGCCGTCTGATAGGACTGGGTTGATGCCTTGTTGGTCTCCTTTTCCTCAAGTAAATCCAGCTGCCTTGTTTTGCTATATTTCTCCATCGAGTGCATGCGCATAAAGCTTTCTTGCTATGTGGCGGCGCAACTCTTTTCGGACTTGTCGAAGTGATAATCCGCGGAAGCATGAGCGGTATTCTATTCGATCATGGCTGATGAGAGCGGGTTTCAAGCAAGGATCAAGATCCGCTATAGTTGTGTGTCGTCTGCTCTCAATGCGATGGCGAAGCCTCCCTGTGTGGTCAAAGAATCCATATACAGCTCGACGTAGTTGAGAAGAGTCTTTCATCACTCCCAGTTTGACATGCTTGTAGGTCATCTCGGCGGGTATTTCCAGTGTGGAGGTTGAACTGGTCGTCTTCTGATGGCTCTTTCGGCGCCCTGATCGATTTGATATTATCTCGTCTCGAGGTCGTCTGCTGTTTCGTCCGCTTTTGCTTTGAGAGGGATCGGCGGTCAGATGGGAGTCCTTCACTGAATCCTTCTTAGTCAAATCCCCGATTGGCGAGATGCTATTCACCTTTGTAGGTACCTAAATAAATCACATCGTCGTCGACTTGTTCCTTGGTGGGCTGGCATCCAACTGTTGTCAGAGGCGTCAGATTTGGTTTGTTCATCTTTTGGTATCGTCACGTCAGCTTTCGAATTGGCTGAAGAAGCTCAGCTGATGAATTAGGAAGTTTAAATATGGGGGAACCAGTTTCGCGCGGTTATGAAAGGCGGGCATACGTTCTAAATGGAGATGTCGGCGCGAGATTGACAATGAGCCTTTAGCTGCCTGCCCCGGGATGCCTCAGGCGAACATATGTTACATAGGAGTTGAGGGCGGGGTAGTGCAAACACCTGGCCCCAACCTGATGAAAGACAGGATGCGTCGACGTGCCAAGCCAACTTTTGAGTTGCCTGGTTACCCATGAGGTACCCGGCCATGACAGCAGAGAAACGGTATTAGGGTCCGATGCCGAGGCAGCGAGAGTCGCATAAGATCATGCATGGGGCGAAGCAAACGAGGGAATGCATCAAATAACTTGGATGTTCAAATCAATTGGATTGTACCTGCAATGGCTTGCCCCCTAGGCCTTCTTAATCAAGCCGCAAGCTAGCCTGTTGAAGAAAAACCAGGGGCCGTTCATGATACACCGACGGGGCACCAGTAGGATAACAATGTGGTCGACAATGCGCGGCAGCAGCTCAACCTCTAGCCAGTATCCGCAGGAGTGCTTTAAATGTGATCGCTTGATGAAGCTAGCATCCGTTTCGAGAAGAAGGCTACATCGGGGGTTTTCTGTGGTTCCCCTGAAGCATCAAGTCGGCAATCTCCAAAGCCACTTTCCGAAATCTTGCTCATTCAGACCTTGTGGTATTGTATTGACACCTTGTCGCCATTGCTCCGACATATCGTGCAGGGCGTGGCTTGATGGATCCGCAGCGTACTTGTTTAACCGGTGCACTACCGCGCTGTCGCTTCCCTCCATGATGGGCCTCTCGGCAGAAGCGCGCTCAGCGAAAACCCTCGCTCTTGCTTCATCGCCGTTTGCAATCACGATCTGCAATGCATCATAATAGAGTCGCGGGACCCTTGCGTCGGCGATGCCCTCCTCTTCCATGAGAAGCTTCATCTCGTGCGCCATGCGAAAGCATGCCAGGGGAGTCGATACAATGCGTATGCCATCTCCGATCTGGTCGTCAAGGTACGTGATCCTGTTGAGACGGCGATCGCTTTGCATTCATTGTGGCGCTGGAAGTGTACACAGTTCGCGGGCGCAGACGAACCCAAAAGACCTCTGCAAACGCGATTGCCTCGCAGCGTAGGTTTCCGATGCACCAAGGTAGGATATCGTAATCTCTTCGCCATCGTCAATAACCCTTAGCACGTGGATTGTGAGTTGGCCTCGATTGTCGTTCCAGGTATTTTGGGCGTTGTGTCTACAGAAATGATTGATCCGAGACGCCTCGAGAAAGATACCGCCTTCAGATGCGTCCGAGCCTAGCGGTAGCGCGTTTGTTCTCGCGATTCCTAGCGCCTCGCGGTGGCGGGTTCCGTGGAAATTAGACAGGGCAAAGAAGCTCTCGCGCTGCACCTGGCTCAGAAATCCCACGCTCCGAGCTACGGCGGCCTCCAGTTTTTGCAAGTTCGACTCGTCTCTTGGAACTCGGAACATTGGAGTCTCTGCAAGCAGGCGGGCGCCCCTGGCGATGCGGCCCATGGCGAACATACCCTTACCCTTCCCGGCGACAGCCTTGATGCGATTTGGTCCTGACGTTGTGAGTGGGCATGCGAGGATACCCGGGAGGCGCGCCTCAAGGTCACCTAGAAACCGCTGAGCTGTGGATGGTAAGTGGTGCCTTGTCCTTCGAGCAAGGCTCGCAGGCTTCCACAACGTCCCGTCACTAGCTGTGGTATTTCTTGGTCGAGCGCATCAGCTAGGGCCAATACTTGCGTCGACACAGCGGGCGACAGCCAGGGCAGCGATTCCCGGGCGGGTCGGTTGCGACAGAAGCCCAAGCTCCACTCCCCGTTGATTGCTATGCAACGTCCCTTGACAAAGGATGACCAAGGCATTAGCGAATCAGAGTGCCCGTGCTGGGCGCCGGCCACATCCATTGCCCACAGCTCTCTGGACCCGAGTGTGACTTTGTAAACCAAGTGCACATTGCTTTCGTCGCAAGCCGTACCTAGACCGCGAGAAACCTGGATATTCAAGTTTGCTGGTATGAGTTCGACTTCCGCGATACAAGTGTCTGGTTCTGTCAGAACGATGCACAGATGCATCGCAGGTCTCGGCTTACCGGGAAGCATGTCTTTGATGACATTGCAAAAGTATATCATTGCTTCCACACCGCTTGCGTGTAAGCAGATAGGTTTCACAAGCTCCGGATGGTCTTGCAAGCTCGCAAGGTCCGTTGGTAGAGGTGTCAATTTTGACTCATGCAGTTGGTCATCGTTCGAGCTAACTAGCATGATCGTGCTTGCCTCTCGCTCGATTGACGTGATAGCGAATGGGTACGCAGCTTTACGGATACATACCAAAAGCGCTTCGAGAAAGGCTGCGGCGCGCGCAAGTGACTTACGAGCTTGCATGATTTTGCACTCTGTTCTGTGCCGATTCCAGTCGGATCGCTGGCAGGCGCGACCGCAATAGAACGTGCGCATCGCGGGTCCGTCATCGTAGGCCGGCGCCCCACAGCAACCCGCACACCGACGTGCTCCTGGGTTTCGACAAGCGCTGCATAAGCTGCCTTTGCCATCAGAATCAGCGTCTTCAGCCATCGTGTTCAAATTGCGAGCATTATTCTTGATCTGTCACGGCAAGGGGGAGATAATGTATGAAGTAACTGAGATGTGTGTGCTTCTGGCGAAAGCGGGGGAGACTGCTGCCTGAGGTCTTGCAAGAATGCACTTAGCGCATCACGTGGAAACGTGGCTAACCTTATGACAGTTTGTGCTGACTGGGTAGTCGTGCTTCCAAGTTACCCCGCTCTCCTCTACGTACTATTGTGAAGCTTCAACGCCAAGATGCATCCCCCAAAGCGCATCCCCGCATCCCCCAAAGCGCATCTCTCAAATGCATCCCCTAAAGCCACATCCCAGACTATGATGCCCAGGACCATCACCAAAAGCACGCAAAACCTGCTCAGAGAGCGGGTCGAACCCTGCACCGTATTCGGATAGTCCCGTCTTCGGCTTCCTGACGATGAAGAGAGGGCATTGGCTTTCGAAGTGGGATAGCGCATTGAGCTCAGGCAGTTGTGCATTTGCACAATCATTTGCACAAGCAGAGTTGAGGTCTCGCAGACAAAATCAAGTTGAGGATTTTGCGTGACATCATTGCACCTGCGGCCGAGAACCTCTCCGCTTACGGCGCAAGCGACCTGGATTGTCTGATTGAGAGCATGAAAAGGGATGAAAGCTTTCGCCGTTCATCGGTGATTTCATTGTCGGGCCACCCGTGAGATAGCAAACGGTCGAAATCTCTATAGAGGGCACTCGCCGCGCTCGCCACCACCGAGCCAATCCGGCTTGTCCGTCGCAGAGGCTCTCATTCCCCCATCTGGCACGGTCACCGACCTGTCTCAATTCAAGATCATTACGCCGCGATACGCGACAGGAACACAACGTACATATCCAATCCGTACTTTCGATTTATTGAACTTGATGGAAAAGGGAATTAGATAGAATATGTATTCGATAGCAATGAACACTTTCATGCACCATTTGTATGCTAACGCACCTCACAAAGATTTAATCGTTCATCGGCCAGTTGGCGTTTTACTTGGATTTGAGGTCATTTCGTTTCCCGAAGCAAGCCGGGCCGGCAGCAAAACGTGAGCTATGAACACATACCATTGCTTGTTTGCTCTACCATTGCAGCAGTACGTTCATCATTATGAATCTCATTACCTCCAAGCAGTGACCGTCATCACAGATGTATCAGCAATCCCTCGCATACATGTGACCGTCAATTTGGCAATCCGCTTGCCAATCGCCCCATTAATAGAGATGCGTTACCTCGTCTCGCGTGAAAGAAGGAATTGACATCTGACTGACACAAAGTGTAAGGAAGCCGGCGATGCCCATCACCGGTCAAGAGTGCGTGTTTGAATGAGAAGCGCCAAGGCCCCGTGACGGCCAGTACCAAAGGGCGTACCAACCGTACGACTCGTCGACAAATCCGTACACTCTTTCAAGCCTCTCTGATGTCAGCATCAAGCAGTGCGATATCTCTGCCGCCCCAGTGATGCCAGTATTCGGCGACCATCGCTGAACTACGAAGCCGCGCAGACCTTTCGGTAATACTTGTCGTTTCTGGGCTGCCCTCCCATGATACCCGAAACATAACTTTACGACCCTTGCGTCTGCCCTTTATTGATAGGACAATCCAGTGCGAGTGGATTGCCAGAATGTGCCACTTGTCACGCTGATGTTCTCCCAAGCACGCACGATGCTCAACACTCGATGTATACGCCAACCATTCGTCAGGGGCGTTACTCTGGACTTCTCGCTCCGGCTGCCACGATTTCGCATGGTTTGGCCGAAGAACGCAGAGCTCTATTTGTGACCGATCGCGTCGTGACACTCTGTGTCCTATCAATCGAACAATATCGATACGTTGGTGGTCGGCGGACGCGGCCGCGTGGTGCATGGGAGTATCTGCATGTTTGGACTGGAAAGTATCGCCCGAGCTCTGGTTCCCAGAAGAGGGGGAAGAGGAATACTCGGCTGTTTTTGTCTCGTTCGAGGCCGCGACGTTAGGGATCCGGACAAGCTCGGCTCGTTCTTGCAGGCTTGGGAAAGTTGAAAAGTCAGGTCACAACCGCACCGGGCAGCGTGGGGAGCGACTTACGACGTGAGAATCTTCCGTCTATTTCTGACCGCCTGACGCAGCAGCCCGATGCTTTTTCGACTTCTTGTCGACAAGTGTTTGGGCGGTGGCGCGGGTCTCTGATGCAATCCCAGAAGGCGATGCATTTTTGTTTTCTGGAAAGCGCTGGAACTGTTACTCGGAAAGAACTCTGGCCTCACACTGCCTGTTGACCCATGCGTTAACCCAGTCTACTGCGTGCCGAGGGGCTGCATGCTGGCTTGGCCGCGGAAAGTCCAACACAATCCTGCGCTGGCCAACGGGCTCCTTTGCGCAATGGGTATAGCGTGTCAGATGGACAGGCTTTGACATAACTGGAATATAACTATGTTATTTAACATATCTGCAACACAACACAAGCAAAACATAACGAATGCTCAAGGATCAACAATTAATGTAACGAGTGGCCTTCGCGCGTTGTAGTTTGCAGCTATTCGAGCGTCAAATGACAGTCCAAAAATATTATAAAAAGGCACGAGAACCTCACTGGCATGATCTCAAAGACAGACTATAGGACAAGAAAAAGAAGCACCATTCTCCATCTATCTATCTCTCACGATGTCAACGCCAAGCCGCTCGCTGCCGGGCCGGGATGAACCCGAGCGCTCTTCGTCGTCAGATGGGTCCGCTGCCGCCCCCCACTCAGCCCCACCATCTGGCTCTAGTCATCCTGGGGTAAGCATTGCCCATTCTCTAGCCTGCATCGCTGACATAAGCAGCAGACTAGCCGTGCGTCATCTGAGGCTTCGTCAGACGAGACGCAGCATGAAGCAATTCGGTCTATCCTATTCACCGATCATGAGCAGTTCGAAGCTCTATCGTCGGAGATGCAGCAGAAGGTTCTTGAGGCATTCGACTGGCTCTTGCTCTCTCAGGAAACACAGGACAGTTTGGAAGCAAAGCGACGCGCAAAGCAAGCCGAAGCTAACGCAAGGCAGGCCGAGGCTGACTGGTTGGCCAACGCCATACGATTGATGGAGGATGGCGACGACGATGCCATCGAATTTCTGCAGAGCGTTTTGCTGGGTGATGACGACCAGCGCGACTGACTTCCCCTGGGGCTAGACTCCCACTGAAGGGCAGCGATCAGCGAGCGTATGTTGGGTGTTTGAGCCATTGTGCATGGCCAACAGATCTGGAGGAATCGGCGCTATCGCACAGGTTGCGATGATGAACTTACGTCTTGATTCCAATACAATGTGCAAGTTCGGATTTCAGCATAAGTCGTCAGTTAGACTGCACGAACAGTGAGATGATGTGGTGAAGCGTGAAGACTGGTTTGTGCAATCCGCAGTGAAGTGCATCCCACTTTGTACGAACGACGCCGGCTTTGGCGCGTCGCCATGACTCCCTTCTCTGCAGGGGACGCGTTGCCTTCACAGTACGATTCCTCTTTCCTATGCCTCTTCGTCACGGTGCATCTTGTATCTAGATCTAGAATGCCATAACTTTCACATGATTAAACGTTCACTATCGACGGTATTGGCTACTTGAATGCATACGCAAATTATTCCTCTACGTCCGCTTGTTGATCACTCTTCCTCTAGAGTCATTGACCGGCATTCCATTCATTGCCGGTGTTTGTGGATGTTGGATCTTGCAGCTTGGATCCAAACAACGGACACAGTGTAAGAGTAATTTCTTGACTTTTCTACGAATGTCATCAATCAAGGCACTAGGGACGCTCCTGGGACGTCGGTGGACAACGGTAGACAACTTTGGACGTACTGGGGACGCGCCTGGGACGTCCACGGACAACGGTGGACGAGTTTGGACGTACTGGGGACGTACTGGGGACGCACCAGGGACGCGCCTGGGACGTCCACGGACAACAGTAGACGAGTTTGGACGTACTAGGGACGCACCGGGGACGCGCCTGGGACGTCCACGGACAACGGTAGACAAGTTTGGACGTACTGTGGACGCACCTGGAACGTCAGCGGACAACGGTGGACGGATTTGGACGTACTGGGGACGCACCGGGGACGCGCCTGGGACGTCCATGAACATAATTACCACATAGATATGAGAATGATGACTGCTGCACTGCTGCATCGGCCTCCCGTGTGGTCGCCTGATGCTGAACTCTGTCGTCGGGTGATACCGGGCAGGTAGGTGCATGCTCTGGCCCTGCAGTACATGGCATGATAGTGAAAATACCTTGGTGCCCTGCATAGCTGCTCGTGACGGATTTGCAGGCAGGAGGTCTAGCAACAACACAGGACACCCGCTGAGACCATTCCATTAGCACAAGACTCATTACGTCGAGGGAGTTGCGAGGACGGAAAATGCCAAGTACAATCAGTTCAATTATAACTCAGAGGATAACGCAGTCTATGGCATCACAACACTGGGAGGCGATCTCCATGATCTATGTCGACTGTGCATACAGTATAGTACCTTTCCCCGGAAGTTGCTGTTTAGCCGCTGAGCCCTGGCCACCATATACTCCAAAGTTCCGACAACGGAGCTGGGGAAGGGCGGCAAGACCACACTTCGTCAGCCAAACTTTTTCTGGCCAGCAATCGAAAGCGTGTTCGGATCATGCCAGCAGCCGTTTGTGGCCAGAAGCATCTCCGCAGCCAAATGTCAACAGACTTCTGATGCCAATTTTTGGAGCAATATCTTCGTCACCGGCGTGACTCCTCGAGGCAATGCCTTGTCGCGCCAGATGTTGCTTTCAAAACGGCGTTGCCACCAGGATGTGCTCCTTTGAACATATCGTCGTACTCCTACACAAGTGGTCTGAGCCTTCTTGACCAGGCCCAGCTCTCCATGAACCCCATTGAAGCCCGAAAATGGCTTCGAACTCGGTTGTCGCGTGCAGAATGCTGCAAACGTGTGAACAAGCTCTGCATGGCCTCAAGGATACAGTACATCAGATACTTAAAAACAGGCTCAGTTGACACAACCTGTCTTGTTAAGGAAATCATACAGCGGTACTTTACGTAGTCCGTCTCATTTTTTGGAACGTATTCCGAGACAATGGCAGAACCGCAGGCTTATCGAGGGAGTTGCTCCACTGAAACGGAATTCTTTTTCAAAACCTTGCAACGTGGAGTGAACCTGAGGGACCGCCCCGACACTCGGTCGGAAGTTGCGCTCACTGCCCACAAAAAGCGATGTATGAGACAGGTTCTGGAACATCGGGGCTTTAATGCTGCATTTGAAAGATTGTCGCGCATTCCAGGAATGTGGCCGGGACTTGTAGTAGGAACCCTCCACAAAATCATCAGCTTGAGATGCGACGAGGTGTGTATCGAGCCCTCCTGTTTCTATTGAAGCAATACACTGACCACATATGCAGGAATTACTGAGTTACCTCCACTTCGTCTATGATACTTGGTTGCAACTCGCCGGGGGCAACGAAAGTGAATTAGAGAAGATCGACTGGATCACCGTCGAGGCTGTTCAGCTTAGGTGTCCGAAATTTTCTGCGTCAGATGAGCAGGCGCTCCGTGGCATCATCCTCAGAGGCGATATTTTCGGTAATTTCAGCCAAGCCGAACGGGTAGCAGCATTCGCGAAGCTGTGCTCGTTCGACTTCCCGATTCCATCTCTGTCAACTTTCTTCAAAGATTTCGGCTATCTCGAACGGTGCGGCAATAGTATGAAGCATCTAGTCCCTATGAAGCGAAGGGGCCCGACTGTTCGGAGGATGCTCCTTCAGAGCTTCAACCCACCGACCTTGCCAGCACAGCCAGAAAGCCCGCTGCTAGACGAATTCGATGATCTTGAGGCTCAGTTTCAACTTGCTATGAGGCGACTATGGCTGTTCGCGATGAGGGAATTCCACTCCATTCGCACCGATCCTAGCCTCTTGCCAAGATTCGCAAGTCTGGCCGTTGAACTGGGCTTTGACAATGATGAAATTCGTTCTCTCAAAAAGCTTTCTCCTCATCGGGAGATAGCAAGGCAGGCAATGGCATTAGTCCGGTCTTCGCAGGACCAGGATTACAACTCCGTGGCAGACGAGGCTATCATTGGTCAAATTGCTCAAGCATTTTCCGGACACCAACATGGGCCAAAAAGACAGACCTACAGCGCTTTTACCACCAATGCAACCACTATGAAGATGCACGTGCGCCCATGGCTTGATTCCAAAGCGTATTTGATGGACCGCCCGAATCTTGTCGTTGAGGTCCTCGACCAACAGCCGATCGTTAAAAAGAAGGAAGTTACAAGTTTATTCCTTCTTCGATCGATCTACAAAGCCATTTTCCACAAAGATATAGCCTATCTTGCCGGTGGAAGCAGAGCAGAGCCAAGTCACAGTGAGAATCACCAACATGTCCAGAACCACCGGACAAAAGAGTCACGGGATCATGCGGCCACACGGCACGCAGATTCAACGGTCACACTTGATTCCACGAATACAAGAACGCGGCGGGTTAGACTGCAGATCACTCAAGCGGGAATCAATCGTGAGGAGCGCCATGTAGACATAAATCTTGACGACAGAAATGGGCCTAATCAAATCGGAAGTATCATTCAACAATTAATGGTACAATACCGTGTACTACCTTTCTCACCGATGGGCTACCCGCTGTTGGCGGAAGAATGCTACGGAGAAATTGTGCGAAAAGGCCACGACTGCCTTTACCTCACGGATGACAAGCGGGGGAAAATTCCGATTTAGGGATCTTGATGCATAGATTGACATAATCGAGTTTACGCCATCAATAATCCAGCGTCCAAGCTTGTCGGTGAAAGTTCCAAGAATTTCTCAGGCCACCCATCACCGTTGTCCTCATGCCGTCCAAGCCTGTCCTCAGGCCGTTTTTGTTGACGTCCCATGCGGGCCCTCGTGCCGTCCAAACTTGTCTTCAGCCATCCGAGCCTATCCACCGTTGTCCTCAGGTTGGATTGTATGTGAAGGCCAAAATAGCTGACTCTACCAAGAGCAAGGCTGAGAGCCATCGCGACTAAGCTGTCTCTGGCATTTCATCCTCGTATCTGGTAGCAGCCTAGACCTACGATGGCATGCTGCTGTAGGAGTGGTATGTACAATATTGTGCACACGATACTATTTCCTTCCTCTTCAAACATCTGGTAATGGCTGTTACCTTCAGCTTGTACACAAAATATGGAGACATGATGGCACGCTACAGTGCGAAGAGCGATTTTCTGTAGGGTCTACTTCAAAGAATCCATCTTTGGCTCTAAATAACGGGCTATAATCCATCTCGATATGTTGCGGTCTGTACACAGTATCAACAACTATTTGCAATTTCAGTGTCCCCTCTGCACTGATCGCATGTGGTCCGAGCGCGCAGGCCATGGGCACACTAGGAGACTTTGATGTACAAGCATAAGCCATAATCATCCATGACTTTGCGTCAAGTTCAGATGGTAATCCATCCAGGGCAGGTCGACAAAGGTCTCGTTGAGGTAGTGCAGTCATGAAGACTTGGCGGAGCATCTTACTATGCGGCTCACGATAAAGTAGGATGTCCACGGACTGCGTAGGGTCAACATAGGCCGGTCGCAGTGCGGCGATGACATCCCTTGCGGGCGGTTACCAGCAGGGTGGACGGTGTAGGCCGCTACCCACGGACTACACTCGAAAGCTTGCGCCAGTTGTGACTCTCTGTATGATTGGCCCGTGGGATCTGCAACATCCGTTTTTGCTTGTGTCCCTGGGTCAAGTGGGTGTCTTGGCGACTGGATCCGTGCGTGACAGGAGCCAAGTTGACTCCTGTGTCATCAGGCTGGGATCTGAACTCACCGACGGCGCGTTCTGGATCACCTAGGCCCAGGGCAGAAACATCTTCGTCTAAACCGGCTGCCGCTGGCTGTCTAGATGATATGAAGGACCACTACTATCAGAAACCCACGATGTCCTGAAACGAATTCGACTCTTTGAGGAACGGATTGCCAAGTATGCGACAAGCTTGTGCGAACTTGGTTCTCCGCCAACCCACGATCAGCTTCTGGCTGTCGCGCAGAAGGCATTTGGGGCTGCTGAAGTTGGCTGTCCACTCGGGAAAGCTTGGCTTGGACTTTTTGTGAAGAGATATCCCGGAATAGAGCTTAGCAAGCAATAGAGCCAGTTTACCAGGCGAATAAAAAACTACAAAGGGTAGGGCCGTTCTCTGATGCATACAGTACCCAGACGGCGATGCATTGTAGATTGCTTATGTTCCGGAAGGCGAAGAAGCTGAGACTCGGAAAGAACCCTATAATGGCCGCGCCTGCCTGGTAGCCCAGGCGCTTGTTCTGCTTCGTGTCGAGGGTCCGCTTACAGATCTGGTCGTGGAAAGTTAGGCACAAACCTGCGCCGGCTAACGGTCTTTCTCGTACATTCGGTCTAGTGTGTTGCATGTCTAATATTTTTCGTTAGGTAAGCTGGGTGTCATGGGTGGGGACAAGCGTTGGCACAGCTGAAATATAACATAACTGCAACAGAACACAACTGCAGTACAATATAACGAACGTTGGAGGGCTTAACAAGCAACATAACGGGCCTCCTCGAGGCGTAGTCATTTGCGTGGGCCTGCAGGTGCACCCCACTCGGCTCCACCATTTGGCTCGAGCCATCCTGGGGTAAGCATAGCCCCTTTTCTTGCCTGAATCGCTAGCAAAAGCAGTTTGGCCGCTGCGTCATCTGAGATTTCGTCACACGAAGGCAATCCGGTCCATCCTGTTCACCGATCACAAGCACTTTGAGGTTTGATCGTGGGAGATGCAGCAGAAGGTTCCTGGGGCATTCGACTAGATCTTGCTCTCCCAGGCAGCACAGGACACTTTAGAAGCAAAGCGACGCGTAAAGCAAGCCGAAGCTAACGGTGTCGAAGAGAAGATGTGACGTGCGTACAATACTGATCACTGTGAGAATAAATGATATACTGTAGTGAATAGTGAAGACTGCTGTGTGCGTTCTGCGAACAACGCTGGCTCTCACACGGACTACCAGTCTTGGCACCCGCCGACTCGAAGGCGTGGTGCGCGGTGCGCGGTGCTATGAAAGGTAGCGCGGCGAGAGCCGCTCCTCGGAACCGGTGCTAGTTACACGGGCCCTGGTAGGAGCGTGAACATACAGATAAGTAACAATGACGAGATTGGCGTCGGCCAAACGGATGTTAAGCCGACATGATGATAACGAGCGCAGCGTCAATGCAAGGTTTTGGGGAGCGTCACAAACATAACAGACCCATCAAGCACAACATTAGTACTGTACAACCGACACGTTCATACGAGAATGAAGCCATATGGACGGCAAGCCCAGTTCGACAAGGCATCCCAACGCACCAATCGGGGGTGATTCCACGTTCCCCGACCCCGAGAACGCTCAATCCTTCTTGGTAGCCAGCCAGCCACCGCGAACAACAGATCGCGCTTTTCACTTTCTCACTGATTGTTTCGCATCCGAAGCTCTTGGGCAAGCGATTTAGACAGGCGCCCCTTAGGCTTACTAATCCGAGGCTCGTCTTTGTACATAGTTCAGGACGGACTGAGAAAGAAGTCTCGTTGTATTTCTTGTATTGTATAATGAATTACTGGGGCGAGGTTCATCTCTAATTTGGTCCTGCTATGCAGCACAGTCCTGGCTCCCGATTTAGCACCACCAGCCTTGACTCTCGTTTTAGCACCAGTCCTGAACCTTGGTCTTGTCATAGGTCCGACAAGGAAAGCACATGTGCCCTGCCACGTGTGACTTAGGCGACATCACGACGCAATGGAGACTGCTTAAGCTCGTGGAGGCAGATATAAGGATTAGAACACGCCAAAGGTAGTAACGTGTGTCAATTTTGGCGATGACCATTTACTAGGCTTCTGCGATGGGTGAAATCGGCTGCTATCTTCCTCATAGGCAGGGGATATACTTTCTCCTTAAAGGGCATTAGCGATGCACAAGGAAGCGGAAAAGATACCAACCATGTCAGCTCTGGATATCAGCCACGCCGGGTCATTGGTCGAGCTGTATTCATAGTGCCTGTGTCTCCTTCGTAACACAATATAGACACCTGACTGGTAGCGGCGGCTCATCTCGTCGCACCGCCACATGATATACTCTCTTGCTTTCTCGAAGTTCTCATTCATTCTACCCCGCTTATTTCGCGCAAAATTATGTCAGGTTTAGGGGTGTCCATGATCGCGTTAATGCGGACTTGACAGCATGCAATGTTGTACGTGTGGGATAGTTATACTTCATGACGAGACGTTATTCACGAAGAAACTGGATTTGAGTATTAAATTCCGAAATCCGGGGCATCGCGCCGCTTGCATTTCGGCTAATGGTGGCCCACGGTCCGCACAGCTTAGGTTGCTGGGGGTTGGGTGGTGGCATACCATGGCTGGCATCTCGCTGGTCCGCGCAGCGCGTATTCCTGGCGTTGCCATTCGAGGGGCTCGCATTTTGACCACCCTGACAGCCCATAGGGTGAGTCACCGCCCCGCCTGCCTTGAGGCGCTCAACTAGCAAACCCTCTGCCGCCCAGCTGAGGGCGAAACGAAAGCTGAGGGCCGTTACATACCACAATCCTTCACTTAGTCTCTCCTTTGCCAGACTCGGGGCGGGCTGCTGGTAACTGATGCCGAACCCCCAACAGTTACTGTCAGGTACTATTAGGAGCTCAACGCCCTGGTGAGCCCACCAGTCACCGGGCTAACCGGGATCATCGCGACTGGCAGGGTAGTCAGGAACCGGACCTTCTAGCAGTAGGGCCGCCGGCGTGGGTGCCTCTGGGCCCTCTTAGTTGAACAGTTTTGCTATCCGGGGTGCAACCACCCCACCCTCTGCCCAAGGCACTTGGACCACTTCCAGCTGCTTACGTGAAGTAATGTACATAACTCGAAAATTATCTCGACTTTTATTGCGGCAATCGAGAGATCTCGTCGAATCTCGATTTTTCCAAGATCGTCAAAACTGCCCTTTACTACGGCCTCCTATTGGTCAATTACCGGATCCGAGATTCCCCGGCGCCGTGAATGCCGACGGCTGCCCAGCACGATGTCCGCTGCGTCTCTTCGACGTTGAGACGTCTCCTCCAACCGTAATGCAGTCCTGGGCAGTCTCTTGCGGTGGCTCGGCTGCCAATTCATCCTCTGTATCATACTCGAATGCTGAACGGTTGCGACGAATGCCCGCCCTCACTGGCCGTGGGGCTGGGTTAGTGGCCTTGCGAGGCGGAGCAGTAAGCCTGCTCGACGACGGGAGGCTGCTCGACGGGATGCTGTTCGCGGGTGTGGATGTTGGATTCGGGATCTTCTGCTTGCGTGGCCGCCCAGGCAGACTGGTGACGACACGGGGATCCTTGATTCGCATCAGGGCATCTTTGAGGTCAAAGATTAGTGTGTGCTCTGCAAGCAGGATGGATAGACGTACCAGGGGCTGCTCGAGTCCCCAACGTGGATGGATGTCGTACTTCGTCAATCGAAGTCCGGGCGTCTTCAGGATCTCGAGGATCTTGTAGCTGCAGGGCAGTTTGTGCTGGTTCGTAAAGCGCCCACGGCAAGGTTGGAGATCGGGCGGGTTCTCGCCACCAGGTGACGGCTCTGCAGTGAGGGCAATGCGGTGCTGGTAAGCCATGAGATCCAGAGCCTTGTATCCCACCTGCTTGGTCACGTCACCAAGCCACGGCTGGCGAGGATACTCACGGCGGGTACGAGACTCTATAATAGCCGTGGCCTCGACGTACCCCTTTTCCCTGTTGGCCAGCATCTCGTCGCTTGCTCCGAAGACAGTGTAGAGATCAGCGTGGCCAGTGATGATGTAAGACTTCAGGTCTTTATGAGCGGTTCCGGTGGGCGAGTTTGTGCGTACATCGAATTTCTCATACTCGCTGATGAAGCACTGGGTCCACTGGTGGCGGAGGGGGATGTACGTGTTGGCCACGTATGAGAGAGCCAGAGTTTGGTCAGCGAATTCCGCTTGAAGTACTCCAGGCAGCATCAAAGTCATCCTCTAGATCCGCGTAGAGCACGCAAACCCATACTTAGCAGAAGCCCGTGGGTGTGTGCTCGAACTCGGTGGCCCTGAGCTGTTGGGCGGTGAAGGATCTGTTGGCACGTGAGATCTCGTTGAGTGCCGCAGTCGGAGGGTTGTGGAGGAGGGCGACGGCGGCGGCCTTCTGTTCCTTGCGGGCCAACGCAGAAGCTTCGACGGATTCCTTGTCCCTGTTGACCTCAAACTCATCTTGAACATCCATAGCGCTGTCGCCCACCCATTTGCGTTTGACGTTGAGGTCCACGTTCACATTGATGTGGATGATGCAAACTTGGAGTTGGACTGTGGGCAGAACCTCGAGCAGGGCCGAGCGCAGGGCATCTTCGAAGTCGGTAGTGGCCACATTTGGTGACTGGCCGCCTACCTTCCGTCGAATTGCATTGAACGATCGATCATATGAGGAAGTAGTACGATTCGCGGCGTTCCGACGGGGGGCGCAGTTGAGCAGCGAGCCAGTGTCTGTAGTGCCAGTAACCTGAGAAAGAGGCATCTTGAACTTATTGGTCTTGGATGTATTATCAAAGCCAACCGCCTGCGGAAAGCGCTTCCACATCGTCTCATACCATGGGTAGGTCTACAGTATGGCCACGGGCAGGTCGGGGTCTTCCTCACTCCACAAGACGCGGTGGCAGAGGCCACGGGTCTGAATGTCGTGCAAGACTGCCTGGGTAGGGCTCCTGCCGGCGAGGCGCTCAAGTCGCTGCTTCTGCCGCTCATTGTGGACGTCATTCTGCTTGAAGTACGACGATACGTCGGGTGTGTGTGGTCGCGGACTACCGCAGAGATCTCGCGAGGCTTGATGGCATTATGCTTTGATAAGCTACCAATGAGGGCGGTCTGGTCGGAGGAGAGCTGTCGGTGGGTAGGGTAGACCTACGGGTGGAGGGATGGACTGTTGTTGTGATCTCCCATCTTGATTCTGACCGTCCACTTCCTTCCGTCTTGGGCGCGAGCAGTAGCTACACCATGCTAAGGGCAGCCGACCTTCTGCGTCTTCGATGGGCGGAGACCAACGCCCTGAGTCTGGCGGACTGCGTCTCGGTCGCATCGTAGAGTGTCGTAAGTGGCCTCGCCATTGACGTACTTGGAACTATTGCGGCGAACGATTGCGAAGCCGTGGTCGCGGGCGAAGGCCTGGAGGGTGGCCATGAGGGCGTCAATCGAATCAGCGGGCGCGCTGTCTGTAGGAGAATATTCGATGCGCGGAAAATTAGCGGCATTATAGCAAGAGTCTGCTGAATCGACTTTTGGCGTCGAAAGTCGCGATAAATCCATTGTTGAATGACTGCGCGACGGCGACGACATGGTGGTGGAGGTTGGAAGTCGAGGTGACTGTAGGTAGGTAAGTGGGTGTGTGGAAGTGCAATTATCGTGGAAGTGCGCAGTACGTACTGGGTGAAAGTGGAAGTACGTACTTAGAAGATGGAGGTTCTGAGCTTGGGCCCGCGCGGGAGGTACGGGAGCTGGGTCGGAGCAGGCGCTAAAAACCACTGTGCTCTGGTTGGTCGCACGGGCTAAATAAAGAGGATTACTGCTCGGTTAGCCAAATAGTATCTGCCCAGACAGTAAAACTCTAATTAAATGCTTCGGCAGCGCATACCAGTCACCGGCGGCAAGCTCTAGCAAATTACTGCTAAGAGGCCACTGTTGTCGCGACGGGCACTGCTAAACTTCAAAGGAGATCCACCCGAGCACTTCCACAGTTGATGGCTTGAGGTTCGACGAGATAATATAGCCATCACGATTCCGCCCGCAGGTACCCCTCCCCCAAAATATGCAAGCGCAGCTGAGCACCTATCACACTTCATTATCATAAGTCATGCAAAGTTCAAGGTGGACGAGAGACAGTTTACTGAGGCTCTACCCGATTAGATTTGAAGTGTTGCTCGACCTGACAAGCCGAAGATTATGGCCGGGACTTGGATGATTTGCAGGGCCGGGCAGCGCTTACCCATCATTGTGGTCGTGAATGTAGTCGTGTTTAGGCTAGGTCTTAGTTGAGCATGTTACATTACCAACGTCTAGATGCCTACCGGAAGCATGTCATCCATGTTGCGGTTGAGAGACACATGGCTGTAATGTGGTTTAATCAAAGTATAAGTTCTTTGCTGTCTATACAATAATCTGACGATCGTGAAGATGAATGTATCTATTTATAAACCTCTGCCGTGCCGCTGACGTAACTGTGCCATGCCTCTCTCCACTTGTCATGTACCTACTACGACCCTCAAGAGAACCTTGACATGTAGGCACTGTTGATCATTCCTTATCGTAACAAACCGAGTTATTAATTATGTCTTCGACGTCTTCCTACCTTCCCGCTGCTATATGATCAGACCATGACGGATCGAATGCGTCATTGTAGTCGGGGTCGAAAATGGACCCAGATTGATTGGTTTGTGTATCAATCATGAGAGCTCGGCTACGATGAGGAGGTTGGAGACCTGGGCTCTTGTGTGGGGTCCACTATGAGGCCCCCGCCCCTCATTGGATGTATATGAGCCCACAAATGCCTCTCCGCGGGGCACCCAGACATTTCAACGGCACTTCAGTTTTGAGCTCCTACATTCTACAGTCAATGAGTTATCGGGGCAAGCGTATCTCCTAAAGCAGGTGCGGCAATAGATACGGCACGGACACCTGCTCATGCTTCCTCAATTTATTCTGACACAATGCTGCGTCCGCAACACGATAACGACCGCGGAGATTCCCCGAACCCAGATGACTCTGCGACCACATCCAGCTTGAGGCAAATCTCACCAGCCGGCGCTGCACCTCGCGACACTGTAAGAAGTCCACTACATAGACGGGAATTGGAGACGGTCCCAGCAGTTTGCCTAGAATGCCGCAGGCAAAAAATGGAGGTAAGGTTGTCGAACACCCGCAAAGAAGGGGAAAAAAAGCTCGCCTTCTTCCGACTGTCCAGCGTGGGGAAAGCGCCTTTTTGCCACAAAGGTGTGCGTACCAGACTACCCAGTTATTAGCATTGCAGCCAATTAAGTGGAGGAACCGGCCAGGGGCATGTCAAATCATACATAAAATATAAAGCAGACCGACAATCTTCACACCTACCCCTTTTATCTACCTATCTTACGCTTAGCCAGGTCTATTATCGCTACTCTCAAGGTGCTTTTGATTAATGTCTCACCATCTCTTTTAGTGTTCGGGTATTACTCCTACCTGCTCGCGATGTTCTCCCCAAGATGTCGACTGCAAATGGGTCACTGAGTCCGCAATGATGTATCGGCGGGCGATTGCTAAGTGTCTTGAAGAGCTCGAAAAGCTCGAAAAGGTGAACAGCGATCTCCACGAGCTGGTCAGAGAACTTTCTTCACGGCCGGAGGCCGAAGCTGTCGAAATATTTCATCGGTTACGAACGTCAGGCGACGCGTTCCACGTCTTGCACCTCGTCCGGACAGGCGACCTTCTACGGAGAAAGCAACCCAACGAGGCTGGCGAAAGATCAAAGTAGACAAGCTTGGGTCTTGCCAACTCGGCATCCACTCGAAATCGGCAACCGGAATTGCCCTGGATTTGCTTTTTCGATTTACTTCTCAAAAGTCCCACCCGAGCACAAGACGACCCAATTCCATCAATGGATCCTGCTTTGGAACCTGTCATCAACAGAAGTTTAGTTCAAGGGACTCTTCAGCTGTCTCTTGATGATAGACGAGATCGAACTATCCCAGCTACGAAGCGGTAGGAATTCTCTGTGAATGGAGTGGCGGGTGAGGCTTGATGGTCGCGGATCGGAGCGGATGACTTTAAGTACACTGTACAAAGTTAGTCCCGACAGGGCACTCCATGTCGTGCCGATATCAAAGAATCGACAATAAACGCAAGTGATTGGCGACATTTGGCTTGGGTGACGTCGGGTTGGTATACGCCGTTACGCTCTGCAATTTTCGAAGACCCAGGGTGGACATCAGCTTTCCTCAGACCCATGGTATTTCCAACCACCTGAGGCGATGTGTCCGAATGTTCAAGGCCAGCCCGGAATACTTGCTCCCAATCCAATATACGACCGCGCCGACGACAGGGCGGGATCCGCCGACACCACCATGCTTTTGCAATCACATGAAAAGAACAAACTAATTAGGTTCTCTTGCCACGCTGGATCTCGTGCCCCAAATGCGGTTTTGAACCTAGATTGACCAAAATATTCATTGTCGACCCCAGCGTACTTAGAGAACTCGTCATCAGGTAATGATCTCGGCCGCGCTCCAGACGCCGCGGTTCAATGATTAAGCGACACTGTGACTACCTGCGGGTCGCGTTTCCCGATGATGGCGGTGGTGCTATTGTGTGCGCAGTTCTCAATCTCCCTTCCTGCAGAAATCAGACAGATTTATGTTTCTGCCAGGATGAAGGTCGATTCGGCTCTGTAATTTCCGCCGTCCCTCACCGTAGAGTCTTACAGATCTTGTCTGATGGAAGAATGCAAGCGGTTGTCTCTAATGCAGCATCTTCCGTTCACATGCGGAATACTGTCCTCCTTCTGGGTTGATCCAACGATGGCTTTCGAGAAAGCCAGTGCTCAAGGAGTCTTTCCACACATTGCCAGGTTCAAGCCGGCCCATGCTTTGCCCTAATTGTAGAGGTAATGTCGAGAGTGGTCAAAGGTTCGTCTCCCATCGTTTCCTAGGTCGAGGAATGCGTTATTTGACTCCACCATCAAGTCTTCGTCGAGTTCGCGCTCCGTCGCCACCAATGTTGCCACCTGGTATGTCCTGGCGATCTCAGTTTCCACTGGCCGGCTTTCCTGAAGTAGAAAGAGGGGATAGACGAAACTGCGTAAGGAAGCAGCATGCATTTCGATTGGCCACTATGAAGGCGTAAAGGGCAAGCTTGACACTTCGGTACCGACTAGCGAGCCAATCTTATCTAGTCTTGGTCGTAGACTCGAGGAGGTATTCGTGATAGAACTATGCTAGAAATGCCATGCCAGGTGTCAACATTTATCCCTCGCTAACCTCGGCTTGGAAGGTAGCGGGCTCAAATCCTTTCACCAAAGTTATCAACTTCATTGATATGCTTTCCCCAGGAGGATGTCCCCTATCCGGATGAGATCCAAGACTTGGAACGGGTCTCTCGCCGCTCGTAGTCGATTGAAAATTTCGGTTGCTTCGGCTTCGGGCCGTGATTGCAGGTTTCTAATCAACTCGTGGAGATTGCTGTTTTCTCTTTCGCACTCTTGAAGCCGACTAACTATCGCTCGTCGGCGCGTCGTTTCGGGTTCCGTGTCCCATTCGCACTCGACATTCTGAACGGAACATCGCGAACAGATCGGTCGGGTTGCGGAACACTGTGTTTCGAACACTACCCATCAGCCAAATGCCTGACTCTGTGCCTGGCCGTGCCGCTGATGACGGATGTTTTTAGGTGTTTGATTAGGCAGGAGGGGACAGATGAAGGAGGGGTTACCAATGACGGCATGACGGTTAACTGTCTAATCTATTCATGATTTGACAGGTCTTTTGACAACTTTGCCTCGATGGCCCACTTAATGGCTGCGCCAAAAAGCTGGAAATGTATTGACACTAGGTCATGGCAAAAGGTACTTTATGTTCTTATCAGGGTAGACGGCAGCTAGAAGTGGGCGACCTTCCTCCTTCTCTTCTTGATTGTATACTTGGCGAATTTACCTTTACTTTCCGTCTGCGGCACTCCAAACAAGCCGCTGGAACGGTCTGTCTCTGCCGTCGAAATGGGCGTTCTGTTGAGATAACGCGAGAGCTAGCACCGGCTGGTAATAGACGCCTGAAGCTGGTGGCCATCGTAGGACTATCCGGGCTCGGTTTGTCCCTCGATTCGTCGTAATCTTGCGAGCCTGGCATTGTTTCAGGGTGAAAAAGAGAAATAGGCAACAACGGCATAACGATAAAGCTCTGTCCGGTACGCATCTCTGGGTCATACTTATAGCCGAGTGGTGAGTGGAAGCAATGTCTCTTCTAGCCACAGTTCTTGTACACTGCGTATTCCCTCCTTCGCCATAGTTCTCATCCGACAGGCCCCGTAGGCTTGGTGTCAACCCTGTTGGCGAAGGACGCCAGTCTACCCTAGCCTAAGGCGGCGAGAAGATGGACTTGCCCCAGCGACTTAAGGGCCTCCTTTGAAGTGCCAGTATGTCGTAGCAGCCAATATGTCACTCTGACGTACGCGTTTAGTTGTTCATCGCGTCGAAGCGATCCCCCGCATAGCTAGCAGTGTTGTGGTGTGGCTGGCTGATCAGGTGTCTTGCTCGGGACGGTACTGCGAGACTTCGACTTGCTTGCTATAACTGTAATTACAGTCACTCCGATGTTTCTTTGCTGTCGTATCGTCTTCGTGACGAAGCAGTAAGTTACCTCCGATTCCGTTGCATGTGGGTGCCCAAATGTTAGTGGCTTTTTGCTTGGTTGTGACGAGAAGTGGAAGCCATACAGTCGGCATTCGCTTGATTTGTCTAAGACCTGCCGTGATCCACTGAACGTGAAGCGCACCTCGTGGAACTCAGAATTTGAATCGTGATCTCGTAGATAGGGTGAATGGCCCAAGATCCTCCATCGACATGTAGGCGAGTGTCCCTACTTTGGTACTTGATCAGAAGGCCCCTCCATTCACGAGCTTTCTGCGTCCCTTGCCGTCGAGGCGATTATTGAGCCGAATTGACAAAGGTACCTAGTTGCAGAACGCAACATGGAATGACAGCTGTCCTGGTTGGATAGCGGTTAAGACCAGCCAATTCTGCAACGCCAGTTGCGATCTTGGTCAAGCCCTATTTAAGATGCTATTGTAGAACGAGTCCAACGATGCATCTGACCGCAATAGAGGTCTTTACACCCTATTGTGCCATAAAAGCTTTTCCAATTCCTTTCGCCAGACAATTAATCAGCAAAATAGTTATCAAAATGTCAGTCAGAGCTTACAGGTCTGAACATAAAGGTTCTCCCTTGTACCGCGCCATGGGCCTTCCTGCTCGTTGGTACATGTGTTGCTGCACAGGAGAGAAAGTTGTGCAACCCATTTAGCTTGAAAAAATATGAAATCAATGACTCCCGACATTTAGCTATGCCAACAAGGCGTGGCTGGCGTTATGTGCTGCAAATCAGGCTCGTGACATCCCAAGCAGTCCAACATGCTATCTAGC